ACACAGTATACTGTGGTTAAGTAATTACATCTACCTACCATTGGTAAAAGGTAACAGAAACTTTGACATGGATCTTTTTGGACAAATGGAGCCGTTGCTTTACATTTACGAAACAATTCCATTCCGATCGGTTGTATAACAAACTGGATCCTCACACTTCAGTAAACAAATTATATTTGGAGAATATTCCGTAGTTACTATATGATATTTGGTACATATTTATTAATTTATAGCTCGAAGCTTCGCCCGCAGTGTTTTGGTAACTATTCTATTAGTGTCAATGACCTACAACCACAGTTTAATAATCCATACAAATAATTTTAAGCAATGAACTGGATTAGGATAAAAGCCCTCGAAACGTACAGTAGAATTTATTTTAAAAACCTTAAATGAGTGATAGAAATAGACTAGGAATTGAGCAGGACCTTAATTGCGTTTTGTCATTAAGCAGGACTCGAATGACTCTAACCACTGCATTCCAATTCTTGCTCTCGACCGGGTCACGATTTGTCATTGTGCTTGATTCGTAACCCTGACCAGCTATGGGACCGAGTGGGACCCGTTTATGGTGATCTCTTTTAGTGGTACGCGCGTAATGCCATACATTCAGACCCGGTGGTAAAATGTTGGTATACATCACATATATACCGACTATCTGGGTGAAAAAGAACCTACATAGCTATGTCATAATACGACGATGGACAATATATGTTTCTTTAGTAAATTCGGATGAAATTAAGGATTGCCTGTGAGCAAGAAATACGTTGCCGTTTTTGGGGAAAAGGGTTTCGGAAATTTTTGAATTGACGAGGAAAGGGGTGCGGGAAAGTATTGGGCCTTCGGTATCCTTAATCACATGGACGCTATGGTTGTTTCACGCTGGTTTTCCGTGAGGCCGTGGTATCATTCCGGTCGAGCCGACCCAGTCGTGACGAAGCTTGGCTCTACCAAGGAATCTTTTTTTTTAGGAACTGGTGGTACATAGTTCGTGATCATTTATAAAGGGTGTCCTTTACAACACCTACATAACACCTATACTTACTAGTACCAAGCATGAAGTGGTCATTACAATGGCAGGACTCGAGCTGTGCCTTCTTACGACATAGTACAGTGCAAGCACTATAAGAATAGTGGGGGTATAATCCCCCCTCGTTTTCATGATGGAAGCGACAAGCTCGCTGCTCCGGAGTTGTCTCAGTTATTAAGGGATCATTTTCTATGTTCCGTACTGATAGAATACGACTGTAAAAATAGCAATTGATGATTAGGTATACCTAATTTATTGATTGATTCGTTTATGCACACAAAATATTAAACTTTCAAACACAATCCACATAATAACAAAAGAGGTGATATTCCTAGAGGAACTTCTTCTTGCAGAACTGGGACAGGAAAAATGGTTATAAACAAAAGACAAGACACAGTGTACCTACAATCACAAAAATGAAAATAACAGAAGCAAGTTTAAACTTAAATAAATAACATGCACAATTGCACATAGTAAACAATAAAAAAAGGAAAAAAAATCTTAATCAAAAACTATTATTTTGTCTTTTTTTTCTATCACACACACACAAGCCCCATTTACATACATGTTACACACATATACAGTATATCTACTTACAATCATTAAATTCTTACTAGGTCTACATTTTCACAAAAGTTAGCAATAAGATGTGTATTTACTTACCGATAACTGTAGCCTACCCCTAGATCGAAAGTAGATGAGTGTAGTGTAGTTATCGTTGGAACCTCATCCTCTCCTAGTGTGTACATCTAAGATAGTAGGTACGTTATAATTAAAGTAAGTTACACAAAATACGAAGTGGAATTTATAGGCGTGTGGTTATGAAACAAGAAAATATATTTTAGAGTTTTTTGAAGAAAACGAAAATGTATATGTTTTATTATGAGTAGGTATGCCAATCTGTGTTGGAATGAGGAAATCGTTTAATTAGTGTGTGTGTCTGTTATCTTTCTGATTATTGTTGGTCTTGTATGTACCTTTTGCATGCCTAGTTGTCAAATGTGACTGAACCTGATTAATATTGTTACACCATGTAAGTACTGTAACCATATTTGCGAAATAAAGTATCGTATGTTATCTTATCCAACCGTTTTTCTCTCGACTATTATTAAACTGCAGTTTTCTTATTCATAGAACTTTAGTGAGAGTTTAAAATAAAACACAAATGTAACTTTAACTAAAATAAAACGTACCATCACAGGAAAATGCGCGTCAAACTTCAAAACTCCTTTTAGATTCTGCAAATTGTTCACCATCGGATAGGGACGAGGGTTCCTAATACATAACACTTAATAAAACACCAGACAACTCTTATATAATAAAAGCTTTGTCATTACAACTTACTTGGTTTGTATAGAATTCAATATATAGCAGGGTCCAACATCAGTTTCTATGGGCTGGAAATATTCACAGCATGAAAACTCCTTATTGTTATAGGAGCAGTTCTTCAGAATTTTGTTGCAGTCACGGCGTATGAGGTTTGCGTAATACGAGTAGTTAGATGTAGGACACAAAGGATCAGGGTCTGGGTTCGTGAAGCACGTGCTAACAAGCACATAGGCCACTCCGCGGAAATAGGCTATTTCTTTGAGCGCATCTTCCAGATCCAACAAGTGCAGAGGCGGCCAAATCCTGTTGGAGAAAATGAGGTGAAGGCTAATTGGCTATTTGCCCACTAGTTAAATTAAATACTTATATCGAATTGACAAAAGGGATAATCTTGTGTGTGAAAGTTATGTTTTATTTTTGTGTAATTAATGTAAATGTCACCAACGAAACTGCCCAACTATGTTATAAATCGATCTACTATAAGTGTGATCGCCTAGCAAATGTGTTTTCGACTCCCGATTCACACAACGGTGTTTCTTTGTTTCTTCCGAAAATCTCCGAACACCAAATGATTAAACTGATGAAAGATGGTGTTACATAATAAACAGCCTGCCCCTGTCTTCTGCCTAATCCTTTTGCTATATGATCGTGACTCCTCTGGTGCTGCAGGTGTCCATGGGCGGCCAAGATCACTTACCATCAGGTGATCCGCCCGTTCGTTTCCCTCCTATTCCGTAAAAAAATATATGCACTTTTACCAATAAGGAGATTAAAAGCTTATAAGACTCACGCATCAGCAACTTCGAATACATTGTCCATGTGAATCGATTCACAAACGGCTACCGATGGCATTTTGGTTTCCCAATTGGTGTAAGTGGTCTCCACGCCGAAACTGATCGGGCTTTCGACGAAGGCATTCCAGGACGAGATGATAAGGATAATTGAACCGTACCACGACAGAATTACTAGCGCCACCCATAGTAATCTGTTGGGAATACCAGAAGCTAATGTTAAATAACACGTGTATTGAAAAAAAAACACTCGAAGAAATTTTCCTTTTAGATGTTTATTTATCAGTAAAAGAATTTTGGCAACCCGTCCAGCGCCAAAGATTACCCCCTACATACAAACTGTAAATGTTTACCTCTTTATAATATTAGTATAGATTATTTAATTACTTATTTACCTATCGGATAAAAAAATATTTAGAACGGTAGCTTCTGGACGTGTTTCAATTCAATCATTTACCATTTATTATTGATCTCTATAACTATACGAATTCATTTTTTTTACTCTTTCATTTCTATCAGTTTCAATAGAGTAGATTTTCGCCAACTTATTACTAACTCGTTGAATGTTATTGCTATCACGATAACATGTATTATTTTATGTAATTCATTATCACATGATTTTCAGCAATAGGTGCGGTCTATGTAAACTCGCAGCACCAGAGATGTTATAAGTGCGTTGCTTTTTGGATTTGAGTTTTTGAGGGATTAGGGAAGGGGAAGGGTGAGAAAAGGCTTCTGGTAAGTCTTACTTCTTACTAATATTATAAATGACGTATTGACGATTTACGTTTGGGTGTTTGTTACTCAATCACGCCAAAACGGCTGGATGGATCTGGATGAAATTTGGCACAGGCATAGGATACACTCTGCAATAGGAAATAGGCTACATTTTTGTCAACATACCACACGGGTGAAACCGCGGGCGGAAGCTAGTTGAATATATATGTATATCTATTGTTCACGTCTGTTCAGTTAATTTTATGTAATGTTTACTTCTCATTATAGAAAATAAAACAAAAGAAAGTAGGAAACAAAGATAGTTCTGTGATATTTTACCTTTCGGATTTATGTTTTGATTCATCAGCAATGTAATGTATACCAGCAAAGGTACAGTTCGCACAATAATCTTTAATCAAATCTTTACATATTGAAGTCTTTGATTTTGACATCTTTGAAAGTATCACATTATTTTACCAACCGTTAATGGAACTCAAACAAGACTAGGTACGGGCTCAGTGGCGGATATTAAAAAAATAAAGTTGCAGTAGCTATTAGTTCACCTTGTGAAAGTGCTTTCAATGATCAATAATAATTAATTACATAGTATGAATTATTATGAAATGACATGATTATAAAGCGCAACTACGGACGCCAACACCAAGGTCAATTCGACCATTTCGAATAAAAAAACCTTGTGTTTGTAATTGTTTTGTTTATTATATCAACAATGGTCGTTCACACTGTAATAAACAACACATACAAGAACTCACAAACATCAACTTAAAATAAAGCTAAAGCTGAATTTATTTACAGGGTTACCACCTATCACTTAACTTAATCTAAGTCTTTGTATTGATATTGCAGACATAGGATACATTGAACCTATTATAATTTATAATAGGTCTTTATTATACCATATAATTAACTTAAAAATAAATGGCGAGACATAAAAATTTTTCACTCGATTGGTATTGCCTTTTTAACATATACACAACAAAAAAGTAACGAAAATGTTGGTTTAGTCTCTTTCAATTATATAAAAAAAAAACAATCCGCCGAACATAGTACCTCCTCCTTTTTTGAAGTCGGTAAAAACAAGAAACGATAATAACAAAATCATCGGTAGGGTTGTTGTACGAAGTAAAAAATAAACAAAAGCAAATCAATAAAAATAATCACAATATTTTCGGAGTTCACTTTAACTTATTTAAACTACAAAAATTGCAAGATTTCTTGATTAAGATATGAATCGGAAAACTCCCCTTCGCTCCATTTTTCGGGAATGGAGATTGGTATATGGTTGAACCTATGGCTGTATTCTACTGGTGATGGAAACGTCTTCCTAGGAATTAGACCAGCATGTGTGAGGATCTTGTGGATCTCCTTCCGTGGGACATCATGGGCGTCGCGTGCGTAGACCTTGAACGAAAAGAACATTATAATGTTAAACGAACCGGTTTGCTAAACAATTTAAAACTATGTAGAGCAAAACTGAATTAAATTTTCTTTGGAATATTTGAATACAAATATTAAAGTCTTTTGAATATCGGTCTGTATTTGTAAAAAATATGGAATAATTTCTTTGGGAGATCTTATGTGGACCACATTTATTTGCAACACTTAAGAGTAATTTGCAACACGTTATAAATACAGCTAAGTATTTCGCTGGTCATGTACTTAGTTGAGTATATTACTATAACTAGCTACTCTCGCGCGGTTTCACCTGCTGCTCAGCCTCAGCTCCATTTGATCGTAGCGTGATGTTTTATAGCCTATAGCACTCAGGAACATTGTAGCTATCTATCGGTAGATTTTGGCAAAATGTAGAATTTTGGCATTCCAACCAGCGGTTACAAAGAATAATTCCTATAAACTTACAAACTTACAAATTTTACCTCTTTATAATATTAGTATAGATGAAAAATGTCTAGGGAAAAGAGGCGAAAATCAGGAAAACGCATAAGTACGTAAGTGGTTGGTATATCTAGTTTTGATTAAAGTACGTAAGTAATGAAAGCACTTACAAGTTTCTCTCCTTTATGTAACAAGCTGGTTAGAGGCAAAACTTGCAGTAAATGTGGGTTCCGTAACGCTGGACTCCTTAGTATAGGAGGTAGACGCTCTTCCTCTTGCCTTACTGCCAGGACATCAGGATGTGGAGGCGGAATACTCGACACCAAACACGAGCATGTCGTGAGCAGAAGGACTAGAGACTTCATTGTTTCCCAATTCTGTGAAAAATAAAAAGGCATTTTCGGTCAGGCACCTAAAAATTTCTTGATTTTTGCTGAGCATTACGGTTCAAGAATTATATACTATACTAAGGTAAAGCGGGCTCGACCTGGAGCAGGAGGTGCAAGGAACGCGGTGGTTTAAAATCAGTAAAAGTCTAAAATCGAAGCTACTTGATGATTAACCCTCTCAAAAACAGTGTCCAAGGAGATCTATCTATGCAGGTTTTAAGAAAATGTAACAAACTGAAAGTTCATTCAGTAATTGTTAACTGCACTGTTAGTGCGGTGGCAGGGATATCCGATGATACGCAATGTGTCGTAGGATTGATTGATAGGTGTGCAGCGTTTGTTTTTTAATTTTAGACTGCATAGTTGGCGCTTGGGCTAGGATATAGGCTGATGCACTACTCGGGTTTGGTTGGGTTTGGTTCCCACATATAACAAATTGTTTGTACCCAACAAATCGTAGACCCATTATCCTGGACGTCAGAGAAGTCTTTGTAAGTTGATGATTTTCTCTTAAGAAAAAAACTCGACTCGAGTGTTATAATAAACACAATTTTTTATTGTGGCATGAAATGAAGTCAAGGATGAAGTGTTTGAGACGAAAGTTACATAAGCATGAAGCGAGATAATGAAATAAAAAAGTCACGATGACTTGCATTTATTTTTACTGAAGATGTTAAGTAATTATTCAACTGATGAAGATGTTAAGGAAATGTGGCTATGTCTAAGTAAGATGGCAGATAAAATCATCTTCGTAGTGCAACGACATTTGAAGAAGTTATTTTTAGACTGTCTTTTTTGTTAGAATTCTATTAATCTGGGTCCGAAAACTATGAAAGTACCTATGAGCCGGGTTATTTATTAAATAACATACAACATAGTTACAAACTCCAATTCTTTAAGAAGGAATGAAAATGTTTTTTTTTGTTATAGGTCGATAATTGAGCGTGCCGATAACCTGATGGTAATAATTCTAAATCGGCGCCGCCAATGGACACCCGAAACACCAGAGATTGGAGATTAGGGTTTCGGGGAATTAAGGATTGGGGGAGGGGAAGGATGATTGGATCTCCGGTAATTTAACTCATACGGCGAAACATAACGCTGGGGTTGTTTCATGCCGGTTTTCGGTGAGGAAGTGGTATCATTCCAGTCGAACCGACTACTAAATGCCGAAGAATAGCTTTCCTACACTTAAAATTATTGTAAACTTGTTTTTGCCAGTGGGGGTTAGAAAGCGTTAGCGGGAAAAATGACTGTCTTATTCCAGATTACAATCTACCTCTGTGACAAATTTCATTCGAAACCATTCAGTAGTTTACAATATTATACATACGTATATAGTAAGTCTAGTACTATATAGTAAAAATATTGACTTCCTGCAGATTTTTGGTATAAAAACTATCCTTTGTCCTTTCTTGAGTTCCAAACTATGTGTACCAAATTTCACAGAAATGGTTCAGTAGTACTTTTGCATTTATAATATTATTTTGTATTACCAGCAAAATATACACACTCCTTAAGAAATCACAAAGGTTTTCCCATAGCTTAGAATATAAGTGTGAACGAGACTATTGAGTCACTTTACTCAAAAGAAACCGAAAGTTTTTAATAATCGGCAGTGGAAAACGGAAGGTCAAATCGTTTTGTTTGTAATTACTCTTCCTAAATGGGCTCAAATTGCTTGAAACTCTAAATAAAGGTCTTTTATTTCTCAATACCTTGCTTAAACAAAAGTTGCCAAAGGCACAAGGTATTGTAGAAAGTGCATAATTACAAGTGCACTCTAGTATGACCCTTGTGATCAAATCTGATAGTAATCTGACACGGCTGAAGAGAAATCAAGGGTCGAGAAGATGTAGGGCTTAGTACATTGGGTAAGCATAACATTTTTTTCTTTAAACATTCAGGTAGACGGTTACATATAATTTTAGAGCTCAGAGATAAGTAATAGAGTTACTGTCTCTATCAAATGAGTATCACTTACGACAGCAGCAAGTAGGGGTGTTAGTGGAATATTGTCGTTTTTCGTCGCCATGATTGTCAGAGGTTTTTTTGTCAGGAAAAAATCCATCAAATGGCTTCTCCCGCTCAGGTGAGGCGAGAGGAAGTGTCAGACTCTTACTGACTAAAAACACCCCGTTTTGTCTCCTAGGCCGAGACCGCGGTGTTTCATTGCTCTTGGGCAAGCGCAATGAGTCATGCAAACCCGGCTAAGCATCAGCCCTATAGGGCCCTGTCTGTGGTGGTCAATTGGCTCTTTGAAGCGCGCGTGGAACGCTAACTTCTCATACTAGACTTATATTTCCTTTGTATGGTTATTTAGACACCACTGACATATGGTGAAGGAAAACAGATAAACCGTGAGGAAACCTAGACTTATAAATTCTAATTATAAATTTAAAATCGCCAATCCGCATTGAGCAAGCTTTGTGTTTATTGCTCACACCTTCTTCGTGTGAGAAGAGGCCTTTGCTCAGCCGTGAGCTTTTATAGGCTGATGATGTGATATGAAATAGTCTCGTTTATCATCATCATCATCATCATCATCAGCCTGTTGTCGTCCACTGCTGGACATAGGCCTCCCCAATTGCACGCCACTGAGCTCGATGTTCAGCTCTTCTCATCCAATCACTGCCAGCCACCCTGCGGATGTCGTCAGTCCACCTAGCAGGAGGGCGCCCTACACTACGTTTGCCTAGACGTGGTCTCCACTCTAGAACACGTTTACTCCAGCGGTCATCGGTTCCTCGACAGATGTGACCTGCCCACTGCCACTTCAGTTTGCTAATCCTTTGGGCTATGTCGATAACTTTAGTTCTCTGTCGGATCACCTCGTTTCGAATACGATCCTTCAGAGAGACTCCAAGCATAGCCCTTTCCATAGCTCGCTGCGCGACTTTTAATTGGTGGATCAGTCGCACTGTAAGTGTCCACGTCTCGGCTCCGTATGTCATCACTGGTAGGACGCACTCATTAAAGACTTTTGTCTTCAGGCTTTGCGGTATCTTTGACGAGAATACCCGACTGAGCTTCCTATACGCTGCCCAGCCAAGCTGTATCCTCCTACGAGCCTCCCTCTCGAAGTTGTTTCTACCGAACTGGATAGTTTGCCCGAGGTAGACGTACTCTTGAACAACCTCGAGAGGAGATCCATTGATGGTGATCGGCTCCGGGAGAACATGTTCATTGAACATGACCTTCGTTATTTGTAGGTTCATCCGGAGTCCGATGCGAGCAGAGGAATCAGCCAGGCTGTTCAGCATATATTGTAAGTCCTGCACGGTTTCAGCCACGATTACAATATCGTCTGCAAATCTCAAGTGTGAGAGATACTTGCCGTTAATATTTAGGCCCCGGCCTTTCCAGCGCAGCGTCTTGAACACATCCTCCAAAGCATTAGTAAACAGTTTGGGGGAAATAACGTCCCCCTGTCTTACGCCCCGATGCAGGTGGATAGGTTCAGACTGCTGGTTCTGTACTTGAACGACCATAGTGGCAGCATCATATAGATCTCTCAACACTTGAACATACCGCCAGTCGACTTGGCACCGTTGCAAGGACTCCAGAACAGCCCAGGTTTCGATAGTATCAAAGGCTTTCTCGTAGTCCACAAACGCCAGGCATAAGGGCAGATTATACTCTTCGGTTTTCTGTACAATCTGCCTCACTGTATGTATGTGGTCCACGGTACCATATCCCCCTCGGAACCCGGCCTGTTCAGGGGGCTGAAACTCGTCGAGTCTTCGCGCGAGACGATTTGTTATGACCCTAGAAAACAGCTTATAGACGTGGCTCGGAAGAGAAATAGGTCGATAGTTCTTCAGAAGGGTTTTGTCTCCCTTTTTGAACAACATAATGACGACACTTTTGCTCCACGCCCTTGGAGTTCTCCCTGAGAATAGAACGGAATCAAACAAGCGTTTAAGTCGCTCAAGCACTGGCTTTCCACCGGCTTTTAGGAGCTCCGTTGTAATTCCATCTTCTCCGGGGGCTTTTCCATTTTTAAGCTGCCCCAAAGCCAACGCAATCTCGTCTTGGCTGATCTCTGGCATGTCTCGTCTATACTAATATTATAAAGAGGTAAAATTTGTAATTTTGAATGTAGGGAGTAATCTTTGGAACCGCCGCGCTGGTTGGATTGCCAAAATTTATTCAATAATAGATAGCTACAATGTTCCTGAATGTTATAAGCTAAAACAACACGCTACTAACAAATGGTGCCGAGTGCCGTGCGAAATCGCGCGGGAATAGATAGTGTATCATAAATGGATTGGTAATCGCACTATACTATATGTGTAGTGGGTTCGTCAATCAAAAATCACAGTAATTTTCCGTACAAGCACTGTCTACCGTGGGTTCGTCAATCAAAAATCACAGTAATTTTCCGTACACCTGCAACATTTTGCACTTGACACTAATAAACTACTGTTACAAGTAATCGTAAGAGCAATCTACGGTTAGCAATACACACGTGCTCTCGGACAATGACTTCAAGGTCGACGTATCAAAACATAACATACTTTCAAAGCCGCGGGTCCATCCGACAATCCAATACTTGGTGAACGTTCGAGAACTTGCGCCTCTCAACTCAGCACCCTGAGCTGTGTAAGCTTTATTATATTTTCAACTTTATTCTATTTTGTTAGAGTTTCAAATGCACAAAGTCACAATGGGGTAGCTTGATCTGCTTTTCAACCCACAAATAAAATTTCCTATTATTTATACATCGGCAGTTTGACTTGCGTGTAACATTATTAAGCAAGGCACAGTCAAATGTTGTTATGCTCATTTAAATAGATTATTTCTTAACGCGTCTAAATGAATATTTATTGCATATAATTTGCAAAAAATGCATGATTCATTTCATTCATTAGGTTGCTACATACATAGGTCAATAACGCAGACTTTGTTTTCGTATATTAATTTGCACTTAAGTATGGTTTTGCTAAATCGAAGGTTACCTTAAAATACCAACGACCACATTTAAACAGTATGTTTATATTCTGAAGGAGATGATTTTTGCTGCCTTTCTCGAGGTGATTCTACGATTCTATTAACTATATGGTTGCTTGATGTTCAATGACGTGCAGAAGGTCCAAATTCGTTTGTTTTTAGGGTGAGTTAGATAATGTTGACAACAGACTGTACAATAGTAATTGTTCTCTATGTAGATAATATTGCTGCGTAGTATAGTCATGGCAATCATAACAAACCTTCTCATTAAAGAAGTTGTAATAATCAGCCATCGGTTTGAAATATTTCAAACTAGCTTCCGCCCACGGCTTCGCACGCGTAAACCTACCTACCTTATGTATCACGAGATTTTAAAACAGCAGCGTTTAAAGCGATAACTCGACTTAAATACGCAAATCAAGTATTGCCATATACTCTGGAACATTGTAGCTATCTATCAGTGAAAGAAATTTGGAAATCCCCCCAGCGATAGCGATTCCTAAGATTACCTACATACAAACACACATACCTGTTTATACTATTCGTATAGATAGATATATTAAACGACTATTAAGGCTCAACCCAATCTTATCAATAGTTTTCTTTAAGAAAAGTTTAAGTAATCGTTAACTGGTTCTGAGTACGACAGTAAGTTATCATTTATCAATGGGTTTTGAAGATCATTGATGACTTTGTAATATTATTCGATAGTTACGTCATTGTGATCACTAATTAATTAACTAATTAATTTAAAAGCCGCATACATAATTATATACTTTATCTATGAATAAATAATTAGATGATACTAAAATATTAAATACCCAAGTATAGATAGGTACTGAAAAAATATAGTAGACATTGATTATTGTCAGAAATATAAGGACACTTTCCTAATTTTTTAAATTTAATTAGCTTACAGGAAAAGAGTTTGTTTAAATAAAGTGAAAAAAAAAAAAAAAAAACAGAAAGCTCACCTTAAAAAAAGTGAATCCTTTTTACAACGCAAACACAATTAAACACTGCACTTTTTTTTTAAATTATAAAACACGACAACGACAACTTCAAATTGATAAATACTTTTTTAATTTCATTTATATGAAGTGTCTATGGAAGCCGGTGTCTTGGAGGGAAGCTGATCAACATTTGCTTGAAGGCATGGTTAAGCGAATGGTCAATGCGCCTACAATCCACCTCCACTCGCAAGTTGCGCCAAATAGCTATCATAATATTATGACAACATTGTACCAAAATATTTATTTTCAACAAGTCTGTAATTATTGATTCATAGTTTACCTTAATTGTGACCTGTGGCTATTTAGATAACTGGTGTACTTAGATAGGTGTCTTCATGAAGTCTTTAAGCCTACCCGTAAATCACAATATCCTTTTAAGAAGCATTTTTTGTATTATTATGTACAAAAAGTATTTTATTCAAAAGAATTGGGTTATTGTAAATCACGGAATCTTGGAAACGATTCCAATGATTTCGTTAATAATTTGTACGATAGAGTTTAGTTTTAGTTTAAAACTAAATGTAGCTAGGTTGCATTTTCAGAAAAAAATTGAGTAGGTAAAGCTCGTTGGGTTAAGCTATGTACTTACGATTTAGCCTCCGCAGTACCAGGGTAAAAAGTAACTAATCTATTTCTGTTCCAAATCCTAATAACATCCATTCAGCAATTTTACGTGAAAGAGTAACAAACATCTATTTTTAAAAACTTACGCGTACGTGTATAATATAGAGATAAAAATTAATTTTATTCGTTATTCGTAGGACTGTATGTTGTTATTATGTAAACAATTAATAAGACAAGGAACTAATGTCTTTGTACGTAAGAAGGGACAGTGGCGTACCAATGATAACTTATAGGCTGAAGATGATGCTGGGCAAATATGTACCTATCTTGTAGCAAGCAGGTTTAGTCACCAACATGAGTGTTTGATCAATTTCAAAATAATTAAGCTTTTTTAAAAAAATCTTAACTGATTCCACTTCGAGTGTATAATGTGACATAGTTGTAATTTTGAGAGAAGAGACATGTATTTATCTTTTTATTTAACAGTTTATGTACGCAGTTTGTGAGACAAGAAGAATATATAGAATAATACAAGGAAATCTCTTCCAGCAAACCCGCTATGGAAGAGTTAGGAAAAAATAGTTTTTCTTTAAAAGCGTTGCGTTATACTAAAATTTTGTCGTGGGTAACTTTCCAAACATAATTTCACATACAAATCACACCCAGACCCGGAACAACAATTTGTGGAGCGCACAAAGAATTGTTCCGTGCCGGAATCGAACACGCGGCACGTTGCGCGGCAGCCAATCGCCCAGCCACAACGCCAAAAGTCAAAAGATGTAGACTGACTGTGAAAACTGAATTTTATTTTTATAGCTTCTTCGTCAAGTCTTGAATTTGTAGAGTTCATAGTTCAGTTAAATAAAGCAATTAAAGAATTACCTTCATTGTTAATCATTTCATTTAATCGCTTTACTAGTTTATAGTTTTATTTATTGGTATACTATACTTAGCCACGGGTGTCCGTCAGTAAAGGACTGCACAGAAAATAAAATCTTAGTCTGAGCAAGCGCTAATTTTGTTGACTGTACTTACTTTTTAGAGATACCTAAATTACATAGATACTAGATGTTTTGATAACATTTATGACTTACAATTATAGATTACCTTTACTGAACATAATGACATGTTGTGGCTAACAGAGCTACATAATATAAACGTTACATACGTTTATAATTTATATATTTTTAAACCTTGCCCGTTAGACCTTGTGGTAATGCAATGAGTCATAATTAATTGCTAAATTATATTAAATAATTTTATTATTTCAAATATATAAAAGTTAATGGTTTGTCAAGGATTTTTTTTGCGCTCTATATACTCGCATATAAAAATAAACTGCATTCTTTTTTTGTTTAGTTGCAAATTAAAACAATTGCATTGTCTAACAAAGATCTCGCGATACAGAATGCAAAAAATATATTATATTTATAATTTGAGAAGACAAAGAAAATATATAATATAAAACTTTTTTTAGAGTCGTAGGTGCGGTTACAAACATACAATTTCACATACACATCACACCCAGATCCGGAACAATAATTTGTGGATCACACAAAGAGTTGTTCCGTGCGGGAATCGAACCCAGCTACCGCACCAACCGTGCAGCCTTACTTACCTTCGAACAAATACATGCACGCCACATACTGATCAAAAACAAAGGATAACGCTTAGGAATTGAATCCGTGGCAACTCACACTGTTACACGAAAACTATTATGAATAAGAGTTAAACGCACAATGGTCACAAACTTAAGCTAGTAGTTAAATATCATACGAATTTAACAGACCAAAGACTCTAATATACATATTTTCACATCAAAGACTAGAAACAGGGTTGGTTGTGGACTAAACACTTGATTTACGTTTCATTACCGTGCCTCTAGCATTTATAGCACCTATTTCCAATGGTATGCTGTAGATCAGATAAGTTAGTAATGCTAGCATACAAATTATCCGCTACGTAGCTAATTATTAACTGCATAATTGATGTGACCAAGGGGTTTGACGTTTCCAGTATTTAAAACCTACATGCATTTCAGTAGACGTATAGCAACGCCAGAATTTACATTTCTTATAATAAAAAGTTTAAGTGTCAGTTCAAAAACGATAATCATTATAGCTTTAATACACCAAGCCCTAAGCGAACGCCGGCGTTCGCGTACATATTTTTTGTGTCTCAAACTAAGTAACACGATTGAAAGGTTAAAAACTAAACAAATTTATGAGGACTTCATTCGTTGATCACGTGACTTATCTTGAATATCTTAAATTTTTTTTTTTTGTAATCATACGTACTGAACTTGTTAATGGGGGAAGTTTCCTGATTTTTAAGTAGCGTAGTGCGAGTTTGCTTAACTTTAGCACGATCGAAACGTTTATGACGTTGCCATCTCTGGTTGGCCTGCTCCAAGCTAATCAACCAATCAGAGGGCTAATCGTGGTTACGTTTCAATAACTTTAACTTGGAGTAACCTTGCACCAGGTCTTCTTAAACCTTAAGGTCAAACCAGTCTTCTAAACGTAAAGAGAACTTCCAAAACCTATTTGTGCACTGTATGGGACTGTGTTATTCTTAATTTTGCTAACACGTTTCATGACTGACTTCAAATGCATCTCGTATTTACTTCGATTTTCATTCAGACAAAACTATTACTTAAAACTTGAACTAACTTAAGAAATTACGCGTTATGGTAAGTAATGAAATCGCAATTAACAATATTACAAAATAATTTATTACTTTTGAAATATAATAAGAACGAGGCGTAATTCGATTGATGTGTATTTAGTAATACGTTAATTGGCTATGTGTGTAGTGGAATTTTAATTAATAATTGATCTGTAAGGCCTCCAATGATCCTAATGGAAAATAACAGAACCGTAAGTAATCATAACAAGGCAACCATGAAACGTTTATGACGCATAGTGATGTGTAAACGGCCATGTCCAAATATATTTACAAAAATATTAGAATAACATGTGTAATCTGAATAGAATGTTACGCATAACAGTTTCATTGTTTTATGCATATTAGTTTATGCAACGACGCGTGACCACGGGTCGACGCGGGCCATGCCGCCGGCGTCTACTTGACGCGAGTGACGTGATGGGGAAAGGACGTCAGAACTGACCACAGCACCACCGGACCAGATTCTGTGGATGCAATAACATGTCTTGGTAACGTTACAATGATTTTGTCGTAATTTGCGCTCTACTATCGAATCTGGTCAAAAGTTATTGCAACAAGTTCAAAGTGCGAAACTCTCACACCGTTCCATTTATCGTTTGTTACTTTCAAATGGTTAATACTGGTTCAATTTTGTTGTAGGTAGGGTTTATAAGGAAGTTTGATTTTTAGTGTAAATCTAGAACTAAGTTTCTCGCGAATCCTGGTAATACTAGTAGAAACAGTTGTACTGGTTTGGTACAAATCACAAGAGTAGTTATGATACGGCTCATTTATCTCTAATTAACAAGCATTAGATACTTACAAAATGATGCAGTTTATTTTCTCCGTACACATTTTTTCATAAAAACTTTGCTTGACACTAGGACATTCTCCTGTGTCGTGGGTGTTCATACAAACATACAATTTCATATACATATTACACCCAGACCCGGAACAAAAATTTGAAGATCACACAAAGAATTGATCCGTGCGGGAATCGCACTCGCGACACGTTGCGCGGCAGTTAGTTGCCCAGCCACGACATTAACTGTATCATTTTGTAAGTATCAATACACAGCACAGTTGGTGCTCGATACAAAAAATAATTATGTAATAGTCATTAATAAGACGAGTAACTTATAACATACTATACATAATACAGTATCAGGCTTGTAGGAAGATATAACACGCAAAAAAACCTACACCCACATTTAGCCATGCAAATGTTTTTATTATAATCTAGTCACCAGTGTTACCAACCTTGTTTATAACGACAAAATTAATATGAATAGAAAACCATTGCAATATTACAACATTGTTAAAATTCCACACTCAAGTGAACGTAGGCGGGTTCCGAGATGATCAAATTGTTTGGCAATAAGTTTTGCAAGTATGATGCGAGTCCGATCGTAGTGCCTACACTGAGACTGATATTTTGTCATGTGACTAAATTATTAGTTTCGTCAATTTTATCTAGTATTTCAGCTCATAATTTTATTCTAGAACCATCGTTCTTTATTTCTTGCTATCACTTTCTGAATATTTGATTTCGACCTTGAACCAAGACGCCATAAATGTGTTATTGATGTCGATTGTCAACTTTCGACGACATAAAAGTGAAGCTATCAATTATATTTTATCTTTTTCCAATCAATAGTCACTAATACACGAGAGGAATCGATCAATCACAGCAATTAACCTCACATCAAAGCTAGATGTTATCAACAAATAGAATATTTAACAACTGCTGTTTATTTTCCCATAAATACAAATTTGAAAAAAAACATATGAGGCTAAACAATGTAGGTATCTTGTAAAATTGTTTGTTTAGTTTGTCAAAAGTAGTCAATCTAGTCGCCCTTACAATGGACAAATATTCAGAAAATGAGTATGAATTTGCATATCGTCGTCATTTGCGCAGGCGGGCTCCGGAACCAAACCGATTAGAAATATTGAAGGCGAGTATCAAGACTGTTAGCAAAGAATACTGTGAGGAGTCATCAATTTGTGGTCTGAAGCACCTCGTTGACGAGAACACTCCGGTAATTGAAAGGTATGTGCTCATAATCCTACGTAAGAGTAACAACTTGTTTTGTGAAATAGTTGGGTTATACTTGGATTATATTATTGGTCGTCTCGTTACTAAGCTGTTTATTTATCTTGAACTTGTTCAGCAGGCTCTCGCAAGGCGTGCTTGCAATTATTGCCGTCTTGTAGTGGACAGGCTAGTTACATCATTTGAGTTCACTCCTTTTTATATTTCTGAGTCATAAATCTTATGTTAAATGGGATAAGTACTCAAATAAATTTGTATCATCATCATTATAAGTCTTAAAACTTGCAACCGTAACACCTCTCATCATCATCATCATCATCATCATCATCATCATCATCAGCCTGTTGTCGTCCACTGCTGGACATAGGCCTCCGCAATTGCACGCCACTGAGCTCGATGTTCAGGTCTTCTCTCAGGTTCCTTTTAATTGTTTTCAGGTCAAACAGTTAGAATTCATTTTAATAATAAAAGCCCATTTAGCATTGTTTTACTTTCTTAGAAATTAGAAAGAGATTTAGGTACCTTCTTACTTACAGTGACATAATTTGCTTTCATCAGTTTATTCAGTACCTTCTCTCGCATCAAATGTCGAAACACAGTTTACGTTGACCTAGGTTATGAGCTGTACTATGTCCAACCGGTTAATTAAAAAGTAACGTAATCGGTCATCATAATGGTGATTAGTCTCTACTCTACTTACGAAGCATTACAGGTTCAATTCAATTCATTACAGGTTCTTCCAAAATCTTTCAACTACCTTCTTCATCGGAGTCTACATTTTGGAACGAGCAGATAGCTTTACTAAGAGGTCTTACCCACGGACAGACATTTTTGTCTTTAATCTTTGTTTGACTTTCAAAAGTTCTTCTAATTGTGTAATTGAAATAGTTGACTTGACTTTGATTGCTTAAATCTATATCTATATCATTTTCAAGTTCTTCCGCACTTATCATTTCGTACGCTCTTTTAAAAATCATATACTTACTACTTACAGGATCATTTGGAGCATTACAATAGTGGTTGGACTGATTGGCTCCGTTTCGTTGGTGTGGGTGACCTTCAACAAGTACTATAGTGCGCCCCTAGTCACCACGCAGACCCCTGAGGGTGTCTCCGTTAGCGAAATCCTGTTTCCAGCTGTCGGAATATGCACGAACAACAGAATAAGCAAGCGCGCTGCTACAGACCTTGCTAAGCGTTTGTAAGTTTGTATTTTTTTTATGGGATTGGTCGACAAGCGTGCGTTTGGATTGACGCCCGAACCCTTGAAGTAGATCAAAGGAGTTAGGAGTGCGTTGCCGGTCTTTTGGGATAAAGGTTTCGGGTATCTAAGGATTGGGAAGGGATGGGCAGAGGGGGATTAAGTCTCCGGTAACCTCACTCACACGGCGAAACACAACGCTGTGGTTGTTTCACCGCGGTTTTTGTAAGGCCGTCGTACCACTCCTTTCAAGATGATAACGATTACAACAATTTACAAGTTATTTTTTTTGTGGTTCTGCTAAGTTCCTGATGGTAAGCGATCTGCCCCGCCCACTGACACTAGTAACATCAAATTATTCACATGTTTGGTACCGGCCTTCTAAGAAAAATTTTAATATTGGTATATTTAAGTTTGGGAGAGCCATGCTTCGGCACGAATGGGTCGGCTCGACCGGAGTGATATCACGGCCTCACAGAAAACCGACGTGAAATAACCAAACGTTGTGTTTCGCCGTGTGAGTGAGGTTACCGGAGGCCCAATCCTTCCCCTTCCCCAATCCCTCCTCAATCCCTAAATCTCCAAATCCCTAATCTCTTAAAGGTCGGCAACGCACTCGTAACTCCTCCGTTGCGAGTGTCCATGGGCGGCGCTGATTGCTTACCATCAGGTAATCCGTCCGCTCGTTTGCCGACATATAAAAAAAAAATATGTTTAATTTCATTTCAAAACTTTTCACTCAGATTCAGGTCACACTAGATTAAGATCAACTTAGAAATGGAATTCATAAAACTATTAGTAAGTTTTATCTGAACAAAATTACAATAAGGTTTCATTTTAAGCACAGCAAGCATATTTCATGTACAAACTACTTAATTCGTTGATCAAGACAACAGTGGCTACAAACAAAAAAATACTCCTAACCTCTCAATAATTAGCCGCTGTTACATGGTAGGCCACGTTGGCGTGTTCTACAAGTATTATAACATTTTCAAGTTCGCGTTCCAGGTTTTCAATATTTGTCTCTAGGTCTAAAACACGTTAAACAGTCAACAGTTCCACTTCTGAACAAAAAACCTTCTTTTTTGTTACAGACTAAAAGCAGAACGCAACAAAAATTACACAGAGGAACAGATGATGTCCCTACTCTACGGCTTGGGCCAGTTATATTTGCTAGGCTCAGACATTAAGAAAGAATCGACCATGGAATTGCATTACGCTTTAGGCGAATATGATGTTCACACCCTCATGCGCAGTGTAAATACGTTGTTATTCCTATTTTGAAAACTTTTCATCTCATACCAAAACAAAATAAGCATTAAGTAGGTACCTACAGAATACTGAGCCGTCGCGTCGTCTTGTCTATTGACCAATTCCATAAAAAGTAAAGCATGGCATTTCGCTCGCTTGGTTTAAAGAAATCAAGGAGATAAAGACTATATCGTTCGCGAACCTCCTTGGAATTTATCTCTCTATAGCGATATGAAATAAACGAAAACTTTTACATTAATGTAACCTAATAAAAATTGGATTTATTAAAGAAATTGGTTGACTATGTTATGTATGTTGTAAATCAGTTTTATTGTATTTGCTAGAATTATGCCCAGATGAGATTTTAGTGGATTTTGGTCATGTTTATATATTGTACCCATGTATAATAAAATATGTTTTTATCTCCCTAGTAAACAAGTACCTACTTAAATAAGAATAAGATAATTAATCAAGTACTAAAGGTACTATAGATTACTATTGCGACTTTCCGAAGATTTTCATTGAATTACATATTATTTAAAGTTGAACTCTAACCTCTAAGACTTATGAAACATTATTTACTCCACAAATGTTGACAAGCTAAAATCAACTTTGTGCTTTTATCCGGCAGTTAACACCGAAGTGCGAAAATCTTTTGGTCAGCTGTATGTGGGACACGACTCCGTTTCATTGTCTGAAGTTGTTTGACTTTCGGCTCACTATGAATGGCTACTGCTGTACTTTCAACTACTTGAGACCCCACGACTCGACTTTCCAAGAGTAAGTATTATTTTTATACTTTTGTAATAATTACATGGTTAAACTGTACTCAGAATTTTGCAAAAACTCATCAATCTGTGATTCGTAATAATTGGGTATATTTTGTCTTACTCAAAATATATAAATTTCGACCTCATTTAATTTCATTCACACATTCATATAGTGATATACCTAATTAATATGCGTGTTTGTAGCAGTTTTAAGAAATCAATATGTATGATAGGTATTTACGCAAAAGACCTGACCAATATTAATAGAAAAACGACGATATTACCATTCCGAATTAAACTTGTTGTTAAGTACCCATTTTTGACGAACATATGCCATCACAACATTCCAGACAGTTACTTGAATTTGATTGCCTGCAGTTTTTACAAACTGTGTTTTGGCAATTCGTCTTCTGGGCTCTTTCAACATTTCTCTCTTTTAAGCCTTTTTTGTAGGGGAAAAATATCAACTGATATCGTCTTGTGTGAAAGAAGGGGAGTGTAACTACTGAGTGTTATTACTAACTAAAAGCCACCCTTCTTCCTTCTCCTACTCCGAGCTGAGGAGGCTCTATTAGGCCATGGCCGCCCAACGGCAGCACCGAAGCGTAAGATTCTATTTTGCTTGAAGAAATATTCTTAATATTTTGCAGTAAAACAAGCAACACGAGAACAATAAATATGTACAGATATGGCAACAAATCGTCGTTTGATTTCGACCAGGGTCTTAAAGTTTTGTTACGCCTTAATGAGAGTGACGATTTCTTCTACAACATACCTTTGCAAGGAGCGCAGGTACTGTCATTATTTTTGTCAGATGATTGTTAAATACTGAGATTATTAATGCACATTACATCCATACATCAGCTCAAGAATGTTTATTTAGTCTCTTAAGTCCTTTTTAATTAATTTTCGTCATCAGCCTATATGTGCCCACTGCTGAGCAAAGGCTTTATCTCACACGAAGAAGGTCTTTGTGTGAATGCTCGAAGCATTAATCACCAATAACAATTCAGAAAAAGACACATTGGCGCTTGCCAGTTTTCGAACCCTCATGCATGAAAATGAAAGACGGTGTGCGTTTTTGCTTTGAGAAAAACAATTATCTCGATAATTAAAAAAGTCCAGCGGAAACTAGACAATTTTGTTAATATAGACTTCTTCAAAATTAATTACTTAAGTATTTTAATTAACTCAACTCAGGAAGGGACAATTTGATGAAGCGTCTTCGATGAAGCGTCTTCTAAGAAGTGCCTTTTAAGAAGCGTCTTCTAAGAAGTGCCTTTTAAGAAGCGTCTTATAAGAAGCGTCTTCTAAGAAGCGTCCTAATAGAAGCTCTTATAAATGTTGTGTGTATAAACTTTTCTAGAATTTTTACCTTATTATTATGCAGTACGAATATATTTTTTTATTGTAGTTGCAGTTCTCGGATGCATATGACTTTCCTGACTCACCGAGTGGTAGCTTTGCTATGCAGATCATAAGCCCCAGCGTAGAAGTAAGTGCATGGCTTTATTTTCATTTTACACGTCATTATCTTCAATGATACTAACATGATCCCCAAAATAATTCATCATTCATCAAGAAAATTTTATTCATATTGTCTAGGTATTTCGAAAACCGAAAAATCCTGACGTAATGCGACTCGCAAAACGAACCTAATACGATACAATTTGTCAATACATTGTTGCCACCACCAACAAAAACAAAACCCTTTTATTTTTAAACTAGTTTTTGCCCGCGGTTCCGTTCACGTGGAATAGTGACTTCCTACAGATTTTTGGTATAAAAACTATTCTATGTCCTTTCTCGAGTTCCAAAGTATGTATACCTAATTTCACAGAAATCGGTTCAGTAGTTTAGGCGTAAGGAAAAGACAGACAGACAGACAGAGTTACTTTCGCATTTATACGAGTAATATTAGTTTGGATTGATTAACTGTTTAAAGAATATGCTTTTATTCTCAACGTACTCGTATTATAATTATTTGTTAATTTAAGTTCAAATATAAGTTATTATTATAAAGGGCTATTAATTATGAAGGGGTTCTCTATTCATTACGGTACCCTAAAATAACTTTCCACAACAATAGACTCTCGCATGAATGGGCAAAGCTTTAGAGTTTTGTTTTTTAAAACCCATTCATGTGTAAGGCACAGAGAAATCACCCTTTATTATCCAAACTGAAAAAGAAGAAAAATATGTAATAATACATTAATGAAGTGTGGGAGAGCTAAGCATCGGCAGAAATTATTTATTATGTTTTCGGCTTACTCACGTAATAATTTGACGAGATACTCGACTAATTTCAAGCCATGCTAGAGGCCCATATTCATGAGCAGCATTCCGCGACACGCGACTCGGCGACTGTCGCGCTGCTACATTAACTAGTCGAGTATCTCGTCAAATTATTACGTGAGTAAGCTGAAAACATAACAAATAATTTAGAATATCTCACGAAAGTTATATTAAAAACATCGGCAGAAATGTTTCAATCGACCGAAGTACTACTAAGGTCTCATAGAAAGCTGGCGTGAAACAACCGCAGCATTGTATCGCCGCGTGAGTGAGGTTATTGGAGGCCCAACTCTTTAATTTTGCCTATTCACAAAAACCGGACACAGATTTTAGTTGTGATTGACCTGTTAATTGATTGGCAAAACACGAAAATTCTATAATATTAACTGTCTTTTATAAACAGAGCTGACTTTGTTCTAAAAAACACTTATAATGTTACAGATGACGGTTATGGTAACAGCGAGCATAACAATGGCTTCGAGAGATATTCAACACGTTCCAATAAAATTGAGGAAATGTAGATTCTACGACGAATCCTCGTATCTCCCATTCTACACGTACAGCGATTGCATGCTAAAGTGCAGAATGGAATTTCTATTGGACAATTGCAACTGCACTCCGTTCAATATGCCGAAGGTGGAATATGTCAGGACGTGCAATATGAAGGATGTGCCTTGTTTACAACAATATTATGGTAAGTAAAACAATTTTAAGTGTGGGAGAGCCATGCTTCGGCACGAATGGGTCGGCTCGACCGGAGTGTTACCACGGCCTTACAGAAAACCGGCGTGAAACAACCACAGCGTTGTGTTTCGCCGTGTGAGTGAGGTTACCGGAGGCCCAATCTTTCCCCACCCCCAATTCCTCCTCAATCCTTAATTCTCCAAATCCCTAATCCCTAAAAGGTCGGTAACGCACTCGTAACTCCTCCGTTGCGGGTGTCCATGGGCGGCGCTGATTACTTACCATCAGGTAATCCGCTTGCTCGTTTGCCGATCTATTAAATAAATAAAAAAAAAGAGTTAATATCTAGTTTGGATAATTTATTTAATCTTTATATAAATCGTAAAGCTCAATAATCCATTATCCGAGTTATCCGACTTGAAAATCGACCTTGACATTATGGCCGTCACATTCACAAGTATATATGAGGATATCGTTTCAGTAAACGCCAATAGTTTCCCAGGGTGTTTAAGATCAAAACCAGAAGAGTTGCAGGCGAAGAAGTGCTTGACTAATTAGAAATGTTGCACCCTGCGTAAATATATATATATATATATCTTGAAAGTCCAGCCAGACTGTGATCTATCTCAGTCAATCAAATCATTCATTTATCTTTTTGCCAGTGTGGAATAGTAATGAGCATTTGTGAATAGATACTCACCACTTTTTAACGATTTAATTGCTTGAATTAACTGAACAAATACGCGAATATCGCCTGCGACGTCACTGGGACGATGGCTTGAAGAAACTAGTAGAGCATTTATCATTTAGGTATACTTAATAACAATAGTATATCTCACGACAGATACTAAAACATAAAATATATTAGTAGTTTAGAACTAATCATACTAATTGGTAAAACTGTTTTTATTTATTCCAGCCCAATCCATATCAGTACGCCCCAACGTGGACAGTGTACCCGAAGAATTAGAGTTGGACGCTGTGAACGGAGGAATCTACTGTCCAATGTGTTACCCGACCTGTTCTAAGACGGCGTACAGTTACGATTTCCACAATGTACTTATATATCCAGAATACCTCAATGCTATACCTAACCATAATCGAGATCCTTGGCTGTGAGTTTTATTTACAGTAGTTATAATATATAGAATATAAGGACCTATATAATAACACAACATTTATTTAATTACTTATGCACGTTCCTACAACTTGTTTTATTAAAAAATATGGTATTCACTTTAGGCATTTATATTAAAAGCTTTGAATAGCTTAAAAAACAGTAACTATCTGCCAGTTTTGTTAATCCCAGGACGCGAAGGAATATCGCGGATCATTAAAAACAGATTATTCTTGCAAAAAGAAAATTTACTAATATTTCAATTTCAAATGCATCAAAAAAGTAAAATTCATATCAGAAATTGTATTATAATAAATATACGTTAAGCTAATCGAATACATTGAAGGCACATACAATAAGGCAAGACTTTTACAATAACACTTTGTTTACCGTCGTATCTCAAAGGTTCTAAAAGCGCAGCTAGCGATGGGACCCTCGTTTCTGAAGGCAGCCTTTTCGATTCGCGACTTGGGACTTCCAACTTTTTGCAGCCAGATTTTCATATCTTCTACAGCAACCGCGGGACCTTGAATCTGCCCTACGACAGTTCCTTGAGCAGTGTTCATCACCCATCCTTTAAGACCTAACTCAATGGCCTTCTTTTGAGTGTGTTTCCTAAAATAAACGCCTTGCACTTTTCCGAAAACTTCGAAATCAGCTGTTACATAGCTCGGCTTCTTATTAGCGACTGCCATTGCGCTAATATTCACGACTAACTGATTTTTAATCAAAAATATAATACTCAAGAATTCGGTGAATCAACTTCACATTTTGACAGTAAATTGTTTGTTTGATATCGTCGTTTGGGAAACAAAACGATAAGGGCGTCGTTCGTGCCTGCCTATTGCGAAGGTTGTCATGGAACTAACAAGACGGCATTGTTCTTAGGTTGGGTTGATAAATAATAATTTCCACTCGATATACAGAGAGATATTACCAATGCTTAAAAATGATAACTGTGTGAATTTAACTGTGAATAAATTGATTCATTCAGGTGAAAATTTTAGAACAACTATGTATTTGCAAGTGGAGCAAGTTAGGAGAACAAATAGTGGAATATAGGGAACAGTTGCTACGTTATGCGAAGCCGGTTGGAGTTGGAATACATTTGTTGTGAACAAGAACAATGCGTTTGTTGCAGGCGAGATGTAAATTATACCGGAACCTCTCTGGTTAACGTGAAGTATGCGAGAGACGTTGCCGACTGCTACGGACAAAATGTTATTATGAAGTGGTTCGATTTGATTAGTAAGTTTTGCATTTTACACCATTTCTTTACGCCTAATGTCTTAAAGCTTTTGAATAACAAGTATCTATTTAAAACCGAGCGAGCGTTTTTTAAGCAGTTTCTTGAGATTCTATATAAACTTTGTGATGCATTTTGAGCCTGGTGTAATGATATTTTCACTACCTACATCAAATAATATTAAGTTATTTGCAAGATATTTTGAATAAGTAATTATTTGTGGAATATTTATTAAACACTTTATGTACCTACACAAAAAATACAAAGGCGGACATAATGCCCGAAGGCATTCTCTACCAATATTGTAATTATATGTATAATCTTTTCTAGGTAACATTGGATCTACATGCGGCTTCATAACCGGCTTCAGTTTCGTCTCAGTATTAGAATTCATCTATTTCTTCACCATTAAATTAATACGTGAGATCCGATTGAGACGTCAACGTGTTCAGAACAGCACCAAAGTCATCTTAGAATCCCAAGGTTCGGGACGCACAGAACCTATAAAAAGATATAGACCAATATACTGGAATGAAATAACACCGAGTTTAGGCCCAAAAACTACCTAATTTGATGAGAAATTATACAAAAATCTAGTCATTTATTAAGAGTTTTCACTGTAGTACTGGTTTGGTTTAGAACTTTCCGTAGAAGTAGTTCAGTTAGTCAAGTAATTTGGTACCTTTGCAGATAAGAAAATAAAGATTGATTCAGTAGTAATTCCATAAATACCAACCTCATTTGGACCAATAGTTGATTTAGATTCGTTAAAAAGCGCACATTAAATAAATAAAAACATTTCAAATTGTCTTTGTACTGTAGGTACTAACCCAATCTTTTTTTAACCTCCGACGCAAAAAGAGCTGTGTTATAAGTTTGACGTGTCTGTCTGTCTGTGGCATCCTGGAGCCTGAACGATGAAGCGATTTCAATTTAGTTTCTTTTTTTTTGTATTAAAGTTGACTTACGTGCGAGACCCGACAAAATAGAAATATGTGGTAGATAATAAAATATTTGGATCGGTCCCCCAACGCCACGTTTTTTTTAATTATTACTTTTTAAAGGAATATCAGATTTTTGGTCTTGAATTTGAAATTTAAAATTTATAATTTAATTTAATTCTTATTTTCTTTGAATCTAAATATCTTTATTGTATCCAAATGACTTGGCTAACTTTAGCTGGTGTGTTTTAATCGGTTATTAGCGTGTAATACGTAGAGGCATTTATCAGAGTTGTGTAGTAGGCAATCATTGTTAGATATTACGCCACGGAATAATGGTTTTCTGGATAATGGCCCTAACATTTGAACACCTGTGGCGTTCTCATACTGATTAAAATCTATATTAGAAATTAAGCTCCCGTTGTAATTTTACATGTTTATTATTTATTTATTTAGAACAATGTACTGTATTGTTGTTAAGCACGTAAGTTGTTGTATAAAATAAATATTATCAAATAAAAATTGTTTAGTCTACATTGTTTATTGTGACGATGAAGTCCAATGAATCCTGTAGGAGATATTTGGAGATTTGGTGGAATGGGATAAAAAGTTTGCCTGAGACGACGTCCATTCATGGTTTCAGATTTATTGCTGATACGCAACGACATTGGGTTGAAAGGTAATTAACTAATTTTGTCAAAGTAATTTATTTTAAAATCTTCATAATCAATAAAATCAGTAAATAGGTATTTCTTGAAGTTAAGATCGACCGACATAAAAAAATCTTATTCTCTCTATTGCATTCATGGTTTTGTTTAACTTTGTCAAAGTCTAAGTCAAAATCATTTATTGCAACTATACCATAAATAGGTACTTTTGAAGCGTAAAAATAGAATTAGTAGTCTGTCAGTCTGTTGTATTAAATATTTCAGAATATTCTGGCTAGTAGCCGTTGCGCTATCATGGTATGGGTCATCTCTGTTGATTGCGGCCCAGTACGATGCTTTTCAGAACAATCCAATTTCCTTCGTCGTGGAGACGACCTACAAAGATTGGAACACAGAGTTCCCAACAGTTGTTGTCTGTGAAAATGATAACTCAAACCGTGTCGAAGAAATATCTGATAAGTAATTTTATTTTTTTACCTAAATATTAACACTTGGGCATGTGTGTACCTATTTATTTTATTCTATTACCAACCTAAAGCCTTGTTGCTCTTTTACTTTTCACTGGTATTAATTTGGGCGATGAACGATTCATTAAGTAATAGTTAAATACATAATTTGCAATGTTTAAACGTACATTTTTCTCAATACAGACTATGGGGAGAAGACCACGATTTCAATATGGAAGAAGTGTTAAAAGAATTAGCATTTTTCAAAGGAATAACTTATTACACTTCGGAATTTTGTAACTTGGTGGACCCTTTACCAGATTGTATGCAGAACAACTTGACGTATTACGCTAATTTGGTACGTGAGTACTTACTACAAAAGTACATACTATACAAATTTGGCGAAAAATACTCCTTAATTAAAGAACGATAACGTTTTCCATGAGACTTAGTTACAGTTACAGTTCTGTACGCTGAAATGGTCTTTGGAACATCGGTGCAAATTACACCCGAAGAAGAATTAAATGATTTCATTTTATTTCATTTAATAATATTTTCATTAAAATGACACCTAAGACCATGTTGAAACTGTCTATTTACAAATGGTCTGAGTCTCATCCTTTCAGAAAAGTATTACCGGTTTAAGACTTTGCATCAAGCTTCTAAAAACCCTATATGATAGCTAATTAATACCTCATAGACTTGTGTAGGCTCATATTCCGTCAAATTTTGTATTTAAGGTGAGAAGCACCTGTGTAGAAACGCTAGCAAACTGCTCATGGAATGGGGAGCCGTTCGAATGCTGTGAGTACTTCAGACCGATGGACACCGAGCTTGGAACTTGTTATGCTATTAATACTTTGCAGGGAAGGTAAGGGAAAGTGTCGATCGATACTTACTGATGTGTGGAAGGTAACTGCGTAATAATCTCTTACGTAATCAATTTATCTTCCGCGTTTGGATTATTTCCAAGTGAATGTGAATGTTCGGCCCTATTAAGTAAAACACAAACCGAAAAGTGATTGTAAGTCAGAAGTCTGTTTATTTCTTTGATGATCACTTCAGTCAAAGTTCCTATCGAGTGCACCCAACTGTGATTGAGTACAACTGTCTTAGTATGTCCAAAGATATGTTTAGTTTTCCGCACAAAATTAGTCTTTATTACAATGACATTAATACTACATGACTGCCTAAAAACTGATGGACTAGGTACCTATGCAAATAATAGGTGCGGTATAATCTTACATACCTACAAAGTTACCTTTTAGGTTTTATATTTCAGAGAGAAGAATGCCCCTAAATTGGATATGACGAGTAATCGCACGACTGGTCCCGGAGCTATCAGATTCGATGTTATGGTGACAGCAAACATTTACATTCTGAATGAGGAAGAGGTTCCAACACTAACTACTATAGGATCAGATGTTCTCACTGTCGGACAAGAAATATTTCACAAGTAAGCTTTAATTACCTACTTAAGTGGATAAGAAACAGAAACAGTCAGTGATTGCTCTATTAGATTATACTGTTTCGGTATATATTGCGGATAGTCGCCTTTCATAGACCTTTTCATATTTATAAAGGCGGAAATCTAAACCAATATGTATGCGGAGAGTGATTAGGTAACAAGGGAGTACTGGAGAAAATTGTGTAACCAGTTATTACCTATTTTGTAGTTTACCTGTACAAGAGTACGACGGGGTATTGATTGTCCCACGGGCGCTATAATAATATGACCTAGAGATTGCCCTGCTTTGAAGGCGTGTAAAATTAGTTTGTAGGTAGGTTGGGAACATTCTGTGTAGGCTTGACCGTCGTCAATACAAGAAAAAAGAAGATAACTAGATCATCACATCCCATTGTTCCAGTTTGTCTGGCAATGGCATGTCTAGGCACGCGTCTCTCGTTCACGTAAAGCGATAGCTATCTAACGAGTTCGTCGAATTAGGAGACACTTAAGAAATTGAGTCCAAGGAATATGACAGTCTGTACAGACCTAATAAAGTTAATTTTAACCATCTTTTGTAGGCGTTATATAACCATACGCAACATAGAAAATGACGCAGGCGCCAGATTGATATCGCCAGAGAAGAGGAAATGTCGCTATACAGATGAAAACTTCTTGCAAGTGTACCACCATTATTCATATACAGCTTGTACAGTGCAGTGTAGAAAGGACGCTCAGCTAAAGCTTTGTAACTGTACGAATTACTTCATGCCGAATGTTCCAGAGCATCTTCGGTGTAATGTGAGCGGTATCATCTGTTTGAACAGTCATGTCCATGAACTTTCGGTAAGGAGTTAATCATTGCTAATACAAGGTAACAATACTACCAATTTTATTTGTTTGGTGACATTATGTTTTTTCGTGAACGCATTCACCACCTTTGTATACTTACCTAAATCTACTACTAGGTTCTATAAGAATTATAAATTATAAGGCAGTGTTGTTTATTGCATTACTCTTTAAAAATCAGCCGAACGATTTGAATTAAAACGTGCCTCAAACTAGGTATTTCTCCTGTTTCGTGGGTGCGTTAAGAAACATATAAATTCAAATACACATTACACGCAGACCCGGAACAAGAATTTGTGGTTCACACAAAGTGTTGTTTTGTGCGGGAATCGAACCCACAAGACATTGTACAGCAGCCAGTTGCTGAGCCACTAACCATGCAGTCAATCTTGGTTGGCGCAGAAGCATTTGTATCTGTTAATGACATAGTTAAAAATATAGGCTTAGATGATAGACAGTCTTTTTGATGTAGGTTTTAAAAGCGAGCTGGTCGTCTCGTCCTGGTTTGTCCTGCAACTGCCTCCCGTCATGCACAGAGGCGGAGATTTCAATCACAAAGGATTTTAAGTTCGTCACGACGGACAGCTATGCCAGTGTTCAGATTGAGCTGGCGGTTCTACCCAGTGAACGGTACAGGAGGAACGTGGTGCGAGGCGTTCTGGATTTAGTAGGTGAGGGAAATTAAACAGTACCTATACTAGACAATTTAGAAGTCATAGCAAAATTACTATTTTAACCGAAATACCTTTAATGTAATGACTGATTGCATGTATGTAGATAAGTTGTGTAATGTACTCATATTAATTATCCAAATGTAGCCTGGTATCTTCATAAATATTCAACCAGTTCAAAAACCGAAGAGTCCAATAATACTTTTCCTAAACAATTAGAGCACACTTGTGATGCGGCCCACTAACGAGGAAGGCAGTCAAGGATTTCTTATCATTGAATATAATAAAAGTTATGACCATCAAAGTAAATATTGATGGAGAGAGCTACAGCTGCCTCGACCGGTGTAATACCTAACACGAGCTAACAGAAAATCCGCATAAAACAATGCTTGTGTTAGCCTTGTGAGGTTACCAGATGTCCAATTTTTCAATCCCATATCCCCCTATTCTCATTCCTGAATCCTTAGCAAGTCCCCAAAGGCCGGCAACTTGTCCTCTGGTATTGCAGGTCGGTTGTCCATGGACGTCGCCGATTGCTTATCTTTAAGGTCTTAATAAAATATTAGTCATAAAAAGTAAATAACTTAACGAATTTTGCAGTGTCAACTGGCGGTACTGGAGGTTTATTCCTCGGAGCCAGCATCCTTAGCTTCGTAGAACTTTTATACATATTACTTATTCGACCATTCTGCGACATTTACACGCAACGAGATGACGACCCCTGGCACCGAAGGTTTGGTCTGCGACGCCTTCAAGATAATAATTTTGTCCCAAATTGGGGCTGGACTTATAATGGGAAGGCTGGAGATAAGGATACATCTAAGGTTGAAGAACGAACACAATGATGTAGATACGTATCAACACACTAAACACACAGTACATAGTGTTTTAAATATTATGTATAAAAATAAATATTAGTTTTACATAAAATCGGTTGTCTCGAAAGAGATGTAAGGAAATGTGTACAACGTTATCTACCACACGCAAGTAGTCAAGTCTGCACAATATAATTATTTGTGTTTTAAAATAAACAGTGAAAGTCAATATGAACAGTGGTTTTATTATCCTAACAGTTTTGTATGATTATGTACGCATTTATGACATGTTTTATTATTTGTACACTGTACATAATGTATGTAGAATTCACCTACAATATAGATAAGCACTATTTGGAAGGTAAACAATATCTATTTGCAATTTCTTCAAAGATTTCCATAACTTTTTGTTTGTACTCAAAATTATTTTGCATCATTCTCTTTATGAACAGACCCTTGTTTTTTGACAAAATCTCATCAAATTGTTCGTTGTCGCAGAATATTTCTGTTGTCAAGTCGTCGTCTATCCAAAACTGCGGTATCAGGCAGGCACAAACAACAAGACCCCACTGCCGTTGTTCGTCAGCAGACTTCAAAAACTCTGTTTTTGACATAACTTGGTCAATTTCTACATTATACTCATCAAGTATTTTCCGCAGTTCTTCGTAATAGAAGTTCAAAAATGTGTCAAGATTTTCTTCTCTGAATTTTGGATCTAGATTACAACAGAGTAGTAACATGACATCGCCAGCGGGTGGTTGGTACCTGATCGCCTGGAAATCAACCAGCACGCAATCGTCTGGCTCTGACTGATTTTCATCATCCTTGTAATGGAACATTATATTATTGTTCCATAGATCGCGATGACAGATTACATTCTTCTGATGAGGAGAATAATCACTTAAACTTAAGCCAGTTGACCAAACATTTTCCCAACGACGTTCAATCATATTAATTTCTGCTTCATTATAATCCGATAGTTCTTTCATGGCTTCTAGTGCTCCTATCATGCACTGACAGAACCAGTCAGAAGACAGATGGTAACCGCCTTTGTCCAGAGACTTTTCGTACTCATCATTTATTTTGTACTCTGCTCTATTTTCTTTTGTTTTCTTTTCCTCAAAAATAATGGAACATGCATGCCACCTAGCTAATGTCTTCAAAGCCTGAAGAGTGTGGGCCATGTCGAATCTATTAAATTTGTTTCGTAATTTATACTGTTTCGCATTTAAATCTTCAAAAACCATTGCATCATGTAAGGCTGTTATGAGCCTCGCTGCCCAGGGTTTGATGCCTGAAAATAATGGATGGAATAGAGTCATTAGTTGTACTTAGTGTCAGTAGTTCAAGTTCAAAGTAAAATACAATTTTTGTGATTGGATGTAAGGTCAAATGTACGGCTTGGCTTGGCTTTGCATTTGTTATTTAATCATGCTACCAAAGACATACTATCGAACTAAGGTAAGTACTATTAAGTTGTGATCGACATCAAGATAACAAGAAAACGCTAAATGAGTTGCTTATAGTAGTTGCACTCACCTGGCAAATCAATATTTTCCTTGATCACCGAATAAAAGAACGCTTCTTTATCGAACAGGTGCATTTCTTTAACCATATTAGCTTTTGCTGCATTGGATCTAGAAATGGCTTTGATGAAGAAATGAAGAACTTTGCGATTTGATAACAACACTTTCACTTTCCAGTATTCAGCTAAAAATCCCAACATTTTATCACTTGCATTGCGAACTGAATAATCTTCTATTACTATTTCTTCATTGGCCCGATTGTAATGTGCTAAAATAAGTTTTATATCTTCTTCTGTAATGTGATTTCCTTGTGTGTTTTGTTGTGCAGCGGTAGTCGCCATATTTTCCACAAAATTAATATCAATTACTTGGATTACTAGATATAGTTGGTACGCAACAACAGTAAGCGGGACTAAATGAATGTGATAATGGAATATGTTGTTACACGTACATTATACTTTACTGTTAGAATCGCTATGTAAATATTGATACATGTTACGTTCAAATTAATCACAGTAAATATGAGATAGTTTAAGAAATATGTCTGCTTTTGTAGTCATATTGTTACAAATAAAAATATTAAACGATTTCTGTTGGATTTATGTTCATACCGTAGATATGAATGAGGATGATGTAAATGTGGGTATGGCACAGGCGTTGGGTAGTCAGTTTCGGAACTGGGCTATCTACTCAAAAGACACGGTATTCCCATGCAGTGCTAATGGGGTCTACCAGGATAATAATATTAGCAAGTTTCGTAACCCGATACCAAAAGAGCTCGGTACATCAAATTTAACGAGCTATAGAAGTAGCAGCCCTTAAGTAATCTTTTTTAAACTTCTGATTAAGGTAAGTACCTTAAATATATTTAGTAAAATATAAGTTACATAAACTAAATGATGTAATATTTAAGGTACTTTACTTAGGTAAGAAAGTTGATTGTGCCGAATGCATCTCGGACAATGCAAACGCAACATCCAATTCCATTAAGCAAGCAACGTACCAGTTATTTGGGATTATTGGAAACTTTGTAATAAGACAGTCTGGTGATGACTGACGTATCGTAGTCGACTCATCCCGTATTACATAAATAATTTTCTGATTGACTGGCTGATGATTCTATAATTGAAATAGCAAGAGAGAGATATAGAAGGACCCAGAAAAGTCTTAGCACCGACTACTTCTTTCATCCTGTGGTATATGGCAAGAGTTTGCCAGTTTTGTAGTTCTTACTAAGTACTTAATAATACTTGAACTCAGTGGTAGTTAATCATAGTATTTCGCGTTAGTTAATATTTTTATGGGACAACCTCGCCACTACCTCGTTTTAACCAGAAAACTCCTAAGCACTGAAGTTCAGCATGTTCCAACGACATGAATAATAGCTGTATTGGATTCCGTTACATATAAAATATTGCTTAAAGCGAAAATTGTATCCACTTTCTTACCAATGTTATTTGTATCAATGTTTAACACGACAGAGATAAGACAAAGTTTGACATATCACTTCGTTAAGTATTTGGGTAAATAATAAACTTGTTGTGACATGACTCCATTTATTTTGTTTAATACTTTATAATTATTATTAGCATTAGTTGTCATACATGATTAAGAAGTAGCGATAGATAACACCGCATAGTTAACACATATGAACAATTTCATTTATTTCTACTAGTAAAATGATACAATTGTTCTTACTTACAATGAAATATAAATATAGTTAAAACTCCCCTAAAACACTTACTCCGTTGACATCGTTCAAATGATATTTTTAATGCAATGTCTTGTGTTCTTTTATTAGGTACAATCTCTACTTATTTGATTTTTTATTGCCTTTTACTTGCAGGGTTTTTGTTTAAGGCATTGGGTATTACATATTATTTAGGTACTCACTTGCCTACACGATTTTGGGAATACATATCTTTCAACAATTTCATCAAACAGTTCCGTTATTCTAGCTCTATATTTCTCATCTTTTTTTGCGAAATCGATAAAGTCCTGACTGCGGGTTTCTACATTAGCTCGTCTTGCCGATTCTGGATCACAAAATATCGCCTCGCTTTGTTCCTTACTCATCACTGTAACAGGAATTATAAGTGCCGCTTGTGTAATTCCAAACAACCTACTTTTCTCATAAGCGTCTCTTATTGAAGTCTTATCAAATATTTTATTTATATCGATTCCTACAGCTTGCAGTTCTTCGGATAATACAGCATAGTAAATTTCTATCAAATCATCAGTCCAACTTTCTCTATCTGCTCTAGTAGTATTAAAATATATCAACGATGAAAGGTCAAGCAATGGGGAAGTGTATATAACAGTTTGAAAGTCAACGAACAGAACATGAGGTGGTGAGTTTCTTTCCTTTTTCACCAGAATGTTATTGCTCCAAAGATCACGATGAACTACTGCGTTCCGATACACTTTACTAGGCTGCATCAGCTCTAGAGCTTCAGAAAATAATCCTGGTAGTATTGAGTCTATGTATCTATTAAAGTTTGGTTTTATATTTGTTTTATATTTGGAATATATTTTGAGATAGTCCATGACCGCGTTCCTTCCCGTGTCCCGCCAGTCAGTTTTATCAGTAGACTCAGTCAGATATTCACTATAATCTTCCCAAATCCTGTATGTTCTACCAAGTTCTTTACTTTTTCTCTCTTCATAGATAAAGGACTGCGCATGAAACCGTGCTAATGTTTCCACAGATGCTTTTAGTTCTTCGAAATCCATTGTGATCTGATTATGAGGCATTACATATCCATAAAATGAGACGTTTTCAAAAACAAAAATGTTTTCCTTTATGAATAGCAATTCAGGACGCCATTTTCGGTACCCTGAGAAATAAATTAAATAATTGATTAGATGTCTTCTTGCAGTGCCGATCTTTGTTGAATGTACTAAGTATTAAGTCCTAACACTCGTGATAAAGTTATCAGGTATCCTAAGCATACGTTTTCATGGCCGTGGACATGTGTACTTACGTAGGAGAAATAATTGAGAAAGGTTTTTAGTCAGTAATAGGTACTCTTGCAATCCCTCTCTCCTCACCCCAAGCGAGAGAAGTCATTTGATAATGACTATGTGATTTAAACACTGAATATGAAATAGTACCTATGTAGGTACAGTGGTTACAGGTATACAGGAGATGCTTCACCTAATCTGTTTTCGCAGATAAGTCATAATTAAAATCCTTTGTAGATGGCATAGCACTCGTGATAGTACTAGTGCTGCAAGTTAACATATATAATAACATACGTTACGATGACTTTATATTAGGTATAGGTACTGGTGCCGTGTGAGGTGTGTTGTTGTTGTCAGTACCTATCTCATAAGTACTACCAAGTATAAAAAAATATATAAGTAAATACATAAATTGGTACTATCTTACCTGCACCATTCTCGAATCCATTAAAAAGTTGGCTCAACATGACGTATTCCTTGTTGAAGAATCCAAGGTCCCTAATGTATTGTGCCCTCCATTCATTGAACCTCGGCATGCACTTCACGAACAGGTTCAGAGTCGAACTAGTCCCATTCTCTTCCACATCCAAGAATAATTTTATATGATCACCTAAAAACCCAGCAACTTTGTCGGGGAAATCCTCTTGTTCGCATTTCAACACTTTATTAAAACCCCGTTTTTCCGCAATTGATAGAATGTTTTCTTCAGTTAATAATTCCATTGCGAACGTGCTTCTCGGAGTATTTGTAAAAACCTAATGTTGTAGTATCTATGAACCAACTGTGGCGGTGTTGGAGATATATTCATTATAATGTAATAAGATAACGCGGAAACGTTGAGATAGGCCTAATAACTGTGTTCTACACTTAATAGTATAATTAAAACTGAGAAGTCGTTTGCAGGCCATTATGTATCTATATATTTAACGTATTGATTGGAAGTACGGCATTATGAGCACCGTGGTTGTGGAACATGTCACGTGTTTGATTCACACAAAGAAAATAAGTATTAAAAACATCATGTAGGTAGGTAACCGTTTTCATCTTTGTGACCTAGGCTTAGACGTATGTACTTACGTTGAGTTCAGTTTAACAATTCCATTAAGTACTTAAAAAAGTTATATGTATTACCGATCATTGGTCCCGGTAAAGGCCTTGAACTCGTATTACATACAGTTAATTTATACTTTTAGTTTTAAAATTATATAGTATTCATAATAGACTAATTAAGGTATTTTTTTAAATAATACATCGTGTAAATATGGCGCCACTATATAGATCGCCAAGTATATAGATCTCAGTGTTACGTATTAAAAAAGTAAAAAAAGTGAACGATTTTTTAAGTAAGGGTAACTTTAAAAAAATTCAAACTGAAACAAGCTTATTATTAATAATGTATTTATTTAACAAATAACTTAAAAACTAAATACCAAACAATGAACTGGTAGAATGTAAGTCTAAGAATGGTTCATGCATCATTTTGTTGAGTTTCTTTTCTTTTACAGCTTCATAGTTTGGAGTCCACAATTCTGTCACTTTCGGAGCGTAGGGTCCATTCATCTTGGAGTTGGTATCTTCATCATCGCTTGAGTCCTCATCAATTTCCATAGGTTTATCTTCTTGAGTGTTATCAACTTCTTCAATATCTTCTGTACCGGATAGTCGTTGCAAGAATGTTGTGCAGAGGAGACTTACTGGGGGCACCATGTGTGGTGACGCTAGCGAGAACTGGAACAAGGAAGTACAATTTAATAAGTTGATTAACTATCAATGGTAATAAAACTACACGAATAATGGCACGAGACTCTCTGGGGATAACTTCTCCACGTAACGAGGGACTTAACATTTCGCGAATGCTTGCTTAAGCGGTCCATCGATAGTACGTCACAGTGTTTTAAAAATTGGGCATCATTTTAAATTGTATGTGTATTTAATATGACGCCCAGTGTTTTTATTTAAGCATAATTCTAATAAAAATGTAGCATATAAAGCAGACGAAGTACTATTATTGTTATTTTACAAAGATAAAAGTGTGTTCATAAGGAGGTCAATGTGCTAAACGTCTAGTAGTTTATCAACCTTTTAACTCAATTTATAGATAACTATTTAAAAACAAAAACAATGGTAGAAGATCTTTAAATGATTTCTTTGAAGGTACTGGCAAAGGGTCTGGGACTCGTTAGGACTGGTCAGTTCCAGACTGTTTATTGTCCTTAAGGTTACTTTCTTTTTATATTTGAATAAATATTAGTGTTACACTGTTCTCACATAATTGAACCAACTGTTTGTAAAAGGAATCTGTATGTGAAACTGATTTAAAAAGAGTAACCGTGGAGTTTCTTGCTCGTTCTTCTCCATTGGAATCTACACTTTGGAACGAGCAAATAGCTTCATTATGAGGACTGGCCGATAGACTGACACTTATCTCCAAAATTTTGTTTGACGTTCAATAGTGCCTGTGAGGGTCTAATTGAAATAAATGAGTTTTGATTTTTTTTTACTTTTGGTACACATACGACTGCCAGTAGAAACACTTACATACCACCGTCACATCATTAGCCTATGAGTGCCTATGGAGAAGGATTAACTTAACCATCACGCTCGCTTAAGGCAGATTGGCGATTTCAAACTTATAATAAGATATTTTTTATGCAAATGGTCGGCAAACGAGCCGACGTATTACCTGATGGTAAGCAATCAGCGCTGCTCATGGACCGCAACAACGGAGGAGTTACGAGTGCGTTGCCGAACTTTTGGGAATGAAGGATTGGAGATTTTAGGATTGGGAGAGTGTGTCGGCTCGACCGGTGTGATACCACAGCCTCACAGAAAACTGGCGTGAAACAACCACAGCGTTGTGTTTCGCCGTGTAAGGTTATTGTAGGCCCAGTCGCTCCCCTCCACTATTCCATCTCGATTCCTTAAATATCCGCGTATCCGCACCCCTTATCCCCAAAAGACCGGCAACGCACTCGTAACTCCTTGATTGCTTACCATCAGGTAATCCGACTGCTCGTTTGCCGTCTTATCCCATAAAAAAAGGTTATAATGTTTTACCTGTGATATAGTAGAGCCGGCAAGGTTATTGACATCGATGACGTTGCCGTCACCGGTTGCGGGCGTGACCTCGGACAATTGTTGCTCGGCCAACAACGCGCTAAAGTTGGACGTGGGCAGTTTACGATGAGATATCACTTCTAGACGACTCTCTTCTTTCTGTTCCGGTTCTAAACAATAGATTTCCTGAAAAAATATCATTTTTTGTTGTAATGAATGTGGAATTTTTGTAGTTTTCATCATTGCATCTGTGTTCAATTTTGTAAAAAATAATTAAGTCTGTTATTTATCTACTCTGTGGACATCTCTAGTACAGTTCTAATGTATTCTCCCATTTCAACATTTCAGCTTTATAACTACGTATTTACAAATTAATAAAAACAAAGCATTTGGATATGAAAATTAAGTAACAAAGTAACTAAGCATCGCAAATATGCCAACGTAATTATGAACACTTTGAAGTTACGAGCAATTATGAACCCTGTTGAGTCTTGAAACTAGTCGAGCATCCTGGAAAGCTTTCCTGCATTAAAAATGTTTCTGTTTTATACTTACAGAATCATTCCTCATTAGATATAATCTAATGTCGTCGTCGAAACAAGTTCCGAATGTGCATTGTTTGAATATTCCTGTAGACGGGTCTAGTAACCGCTTCTTTGTCAATATTGGAGTCGAACTATGGGGCGTGAATACGTGAACTGAAACAAAAGTTTTATTGGTCGTTGCTACAGGTTTAAACGGCAGACAAAACAGTAGATTTTAGACTCTTTTCCCAAAGGAATATGGTCCAAAATCGATTAAAGGTATGTCACTGTGATTCTGTACAGAATAAGTTAAGTTGGTAGAATAAGATCTTAAGTGGATTATGCGAAATATCTTTACGAATTTAAGACAGTGTTTGTTCTTTTTCTATAACAAAGGATACAAATAAGGTACAATACATGAATATAAATCGGGGTATAGTTAACGTATATTACACGTCTACTACAATAATTTAATAACTAAATTACTTACGGTCATTATTCTTTGTGACTACAGCCAATTTATTGGAGAACCTATGTGAGACTAGGCAAGTTGGATTGATTTGTACGAGCCATTTAACTGTCAGCGACAGTAAGCTCCACACAGCTAGACATGTTTCTGTTGTGCACACCAACTGAAAATAAGGGTAATAGTATTAATGTACACCTTTAAAGTTTAAGGTAAATAAAAACTTTATTGACGATTTAATGACTAACACTTAGCTTAGCCCTTTTTGGCTGAGGTTCGTGTTAACAGAACCAGTTTATCATTAAAATACCAAACGAAAAAATAAAAAAAGATATACAATGAAACAATGAATTTATTTTTGCAAATAGGCCACAAAACGGCAATTTTACATGTCAATTTATATGTGAAAAACTAGATGAAGTCGGCATTTCCTATCTGACTACTCTGAGAAGAAATGCCGAAACAAACTCAGAGGTCAGTCTCTTTTCAAGTCCAGACAGTGTAAAAATAACATAATGAGAGAGAACCCGTACCTATTAGTAGTATAACAACAACAACAACAACATGTAATTTTTCCCCCATAAAAAATAGTAGGTACTGAAGAAGATCTTGCATGCTTAATTTGTATACAAAGCATGTTTTGAGAAATAAACATATTTTTATCTTAATCTTTAGGAGAGCCATATTTCGACGCGAATTGGCTGGTTCCACCTTAGTGTTACTGCGGCTTCAAAGAAGTGAAGAGGCGCTGATTGCTTACTGATGAGGTTGGTCCGTTTAATCGTTTACATTTCACAAAAGCTTTGACTTAATATTTCATCAAACGGCAATGGTAATCCCATACATTGATTTTTTTATTCACTTCATTACCTTACTTGTACAGACGGGATGGGTGGTTTTAAGTAAGTATCTGACACTCACTCTCGTCTCAGCGAAGGCGAGAGAAGTATAAGATGATATTCCCACAAAAAAAAAATGCTATACTTCGTTGCTCTTCAAAAGGGATGGTAAAGTGCTTAGATTTTGGACTTTACTACATAGCAATAGGCTTGAAAATTTAATATCTAAAAGTTTGGCAGATTACAGTATATGTATACAAGTATATCTTAGGGATCAAATCATAGAGAACTATTCAGCCTAATTTGTGTATAATATGTTTAATTATATAATACTCACATAATGTGCCGCATCCCTGTTTCCGAATTGAACGTGTACTCCTTTAGGCCTCAACGCAGGATGAGACAACGTAGTGCTTAGGTTACACAGATGTGTATCCCACAAGGTCAGTTTACAGCCGAACCAAGCAGCGATTAGAGAACCATCCTGGGATATAGCCACGCCACCCATGGCGAACTCACTGTCTCTCTTCGTTGACACTCGTTCAACTTCCTCAATAACCAATGACTGTTCCTTATGTATATTAAACAACTTCTTTATAACATCATTATTTTTATCAACCTCCCGTAAGTAGGGCAAGTCCTCATCCCTCCCAGGCTTGTGTTTAAACCCATCTTTGAAACCGTTTAGAACATCATTCGATATAAACTGACCAATCCCAGACGAGTAATAGCACGCCGTCAAACAACTCCACGCGAACTTCTTGCTCTTATTCGTCGGTGATGTGTTTTCTTTTTTCCATATTCTGAATTTCTGGTCAGAGCCTGCTGATACGCAGAAATCGCCTTTATAGTTTAGGGACAGAGAGACCACATTGCAGCCTCCGTGGGATAGGTTGACGCAAGTGTTGAGTTGGAAGGGCGTAGCGTTTTTGTATTGTGCAGCCCAGAATTTTAGTTTCTCTTCAGGGTACGTGATGCCGTCGTTCCTGTACTCGGAGGTGACCAGCCACTCCCCATTTCCACTGACAGCAGCGCATGTCACTTCTGTTTCTAATGGCAATAAATTCCACCTTTCTGATGGCAAGTTGTTCAATCCCGTTATATCTAACTGTAATGATAAAGTTTTTTTTCTATTATCACCATCACATTTTAGATGAAGAAGAAGTTAAGCAAAAGAAGTAAGAGTGAAATAAAGTTCTAACATCCTACATATTAAAAGTACAGTTGTTTAATTTCATATCAATTTGAAAGTTAGAATTGAAAATCGAAATCGCCCATATGTGAGGAATATGGAAGATTTTATTTATTTTTCTTTACATCTGCCCATGTGGTTAAGTGAAGGAGTTTATCTATTAATTTCAGGATGAGGTTAAGAAGGTAATGATTATAAGGGATGTTACAAAACTTACATTATAAAGCACTTTATCGGTGTTAGTAGAGTAGAGCTGTAGATGTCCAGTCCGCGCGGCAGTGAGTAGCGCGGATAGAGGCGATACGTGCAGCAGGGCTCCGCCCACTGCGCGCGCAGCTGGGGACACGCCCCCGCACTCCAGCAACGTGCCTAGTACGCGAAGCTGAGCGTTCGCTATCACCACCGCTGAAAATAATAATTATAACATTATACTATGCTTTATCGACACGTACGAAAAGCTCAATAATATACCACGGCCCCGGCTGCCTAGTAAGAAGGCAAGTGTTTAAACGCTCTCGTTTCATGCAATGTGAGAGAAGTCATCCGAACATATTTCCAAGCCCACCAAAATACTACGATTAATTTTTCTGACGAAAGGCGTGGATGTGCTTGGGTTTATGACTTAATTACAAAGCCATAAGGTTGAAAATTTATCATATACAACTTTGACAGAGTACAGTAAACATTTTCCATACTCCATAGTCTACCCTATTGAATGGATACTTCAGGAAATTTTAACTTTAAAGAAACAATAAGTTTTAAAATTTGGTAACTATAGTTTAACAGTTATTGTATTAAGTATGACGAGACATTTCACAGTAATTAGGTATTATTTCACTATACTTACAATTGTTAGTTAAAGTCAAGGCGACATGTGTGTTGTTGGTAGTGATAAACCTTATCATGCCAGGCAGACGAGGAATAAAGTTCTTTTCATTGGCTCTGTATGCTAAGTCACCAATTGTCCATTTCACCAGCACTTTTTCCATTCCACCAGTGTAGAGATAGTTGCCTGGAATATAATTTAAAGATGAGTTCTCTTATATTAATGTTTAAACAAAAGTATAGTCATAAGATTTTTATTAATATCTTACACTTTGGGAATATAGTTGAATTTATTAAAAATCTTTAAAACTTGTAGTAACTTTATACTTGTAGCACATATTTAATAAGTTAAATATAATATACTTAGAAGTTTTTTGAAAAGTGATAAATCTTATTTTTTATGTAACAGTGAATAAAATACGCGGTATTTTATATTATTATAAAGCTATTGAGTTTTTGTTTGTTTAAACACACCATCTCCAGCATTGCTTATTCGAATTCAATGTTTTTATTTTCTTTAGACCATTTATCTAGGAAGGCTATAGGCTACTAATCATATCATGCTACGATCAAATGGAGCTGAACAATATGTGAAACCGCAAGTGGTGTAATATAACACAAGAATACCATACCTTGCAAAGAGAAACAAGTTGCGAGTGGCGGTAAGAAATGCCAATGCAGCACTTCCCGTGCTATTTGCTTGTAATCATATAAATTTCCCCTTATGACCGTAGCTCGGCCCAAAGTGTCTGTGATGGCTACAGCATTTGTTTTCTGATGGGCTGCCACTGACATTATCCGGTAGCCATTATGATTTACAATTCTGTAAGCAGAGTGAGTTTCATCAATACAGATGTTGTCAACAAGAAACACTTTTTACATAGATTTGACGGAAATTTTCCTTGGTTTTTGTCAGAAACTGGAGTATTGTAAGTACTGGACTAGACTAGTACTGGAGTAAGTATTTAATTTATTTATTTCTTTGTTTAGACTTTTGCTCGTACACCTGTGTACAGGTGGACTTAATGCCACAGGCATTCTCTGCCAGTAGAACCTTTGGGTGATGCAGAGATAACAGTAGACCTACTGTGCAGAAGCAAGCAAAATCAAGATATTACTGATAAATATATATTTTATACACTTACTTACATAAATACTATTAAAATAAATATATTAAATAAAAAATGAATTTAATTGTTACTAAGCATAATTTGCAAATACAAAATACACAGAAAGTTAAAATAAAGTAAAATATGTACCGTGTTTTTAAATGTGGTTGTTGTAGATTTTGAATGCTTAAGACTTTCGTTCCATTGCTCACTGCCGCATACCTATCTCCATTACACCATCCCAGTGACACACAAATCATGTCTCCGTACATTGGTTTTGTATCACGGTAGTCATAGAGTAGTTCTCCGGTCTTTGTGGAGTATGTGTTGAGGTTGAGGTGCTTGCCCTTCGGTTGACTAGACGTAATACAACATTCTGTGCTGTCCACTAAGTCAAATGTGTGTACTTTAGTATTGGGTGGAAGATTGAGTTTCTGTAAATTGAATTGAAATATATTCCATGATTATTTTACTGTTTTATCCTATAATGTGTCTGAGTATGATATCTTATACATTTTTACATAACTACACATTTCAGTACTTTTAAGTACCTTATTTCTTTTCTAATTTTTCAAGATATTACAAATAAATTATACATTTAAAAAATTTAAAAGTGATTTGCAGGATCAGAGTAGTTGACTTATTAGACTATCCACTTTATAATGTTTTTTATAAAATAAAAAATTCCAGTATCTTGAATGAGCATTTAATTTATTTTTGCCCCACACTATTATTTTCTCCTGCGTCGCAGGTGCTTTTACAAACAAAAAACTATGATTCAACCAAGTAAATTAATATTGTTTAACTGCATACTTACAATTTCTCTAAGAACAGCACCATTTGCCCAAGTCCATATAGTAACATAGCCCGTATCGGAACATCCATATAAGTTATAGTCCTCATTTTCAGGGAATTGTATCGCGATGATCTCATTCACAGGACTCTCCGTTTCAAGTATACGAACACACTCCCCCGTTTGAATATTGTACACTCGTACTATATTCTCAACAATAATAGCTATTGATCTGTAATTAATAACAAATAGATAAATGTTAAGTACAATTACGACGTAATAGGGGTTTAATATACAAAATTTAACTTACTCTCCATCCGGTGAAAACACAGGACGACGTTCGATAATACTTCTGCCAGCTTTTCTATAAAAATTGTATTTAACACTCTTAGCACCGTCATCATTCACCATTACACCCATTTTAAAGAAGTTTCTGTGAATAGTATGATCAACTTATAAAATACATCTAAAAAACACACGGATTTTACACACGACAACATGAGATAACCTCAATCTTTTGAATGACGTTTGTGTTCCATATTTCATCAAAACCCTAAGTAAAATATTGAGTGAGAGCGAAGACGTTTGAAAAGTTGTAGGAAGAGAGAGATGTCTAACTTTTCTTTATGCTTTATCGATTGCAGTTGACATGTGGTGGGTTGAGATATGGAACGCAACACGCAACATAATTTCGTTCGGAAACTAATAATATTTTGAGTTTCAGATTTCATGAGATTGTAGATTGTTCGGATGAATAAATTAAAACATTCAATAAAATTAGTAAGAAAACAATAAATGCGATAAAATAAGATAATATGGTAAATATTTTACTTTATTTTCCAATAAATAACTAACACTATCCATAGTCTACATAAGAGTTTAAAACGCGCAAGACAAAGTCAGTGTATTACTGTCAAATTCTGAGAGCATGTGTCAATATTGGTCTAATATTCCGACGGCACGGAGTTTTTAAAGTTATCGTGAAGCGGTACAGTTAATTTAATATTTGGTGTACAATCTTTTTAAATTTATCGTTTATATGTAAAGCACCAACATGTCTGCCGAAGTAGCAGAAGTTCAACTTCAAGTGCGGTTTATAACCAAACAAGAACAGTGAGTATCAACATCCTATGTATGCGGCGTGGCGACGAAGGTATATACGCTTGAGGCACATGTTTAATATCGTTTTTGTTTTAGATATGCTGTACCAGACAGTCCATATGCAATTCAAAGCAACGTCCAAGTAGCAGATTTGAATACTTTGATTAATGCTTTGTTAAAAGAGACCAATCCATCATTAGAGAAGGCTGTCGAGTTTGATTTCCTAGTATGTGGGGAATTGTTGTGTTCGTCGCTCTCAGAACACCTGCAGGAGAAAGGAGCGTCGACAGAAGATACATTGGAGATAGAATATCTTGAAAGATTCCCTGCACCAGCACCACAGGACTGTTTGATGCATGATGACTGGGTATCTTCAGTGCATTCACATACAAACTGGTAAGTATATTGTTTTGTGAGCAAGTTAACTTATACTGGATTTTGATGGCGCAGAAGAGCAAAATTCTTGCACAATTTAATGTCATCTGATTGTAATAAGAATGATTTTACCAAAAAAACAATCACACTAATTATGTTAAGTATATATTACTAAAATATTCATATAATTCTTTTACAGGATATTGTCTGGTTGCTATGACAACAGCATTCATATTTGGAGCACTAAGGGTCAACATAAACTGGCCATACCTGGCCACACATCTCCAGTTAAAGCGGTTTCTTGGGTTTCCTTGGATGCTGATCAGGCAGTTTTTGTCAGGTAATTCAGTGATTTTTATTAATGGCATAATTGAATAATGTTTTGATGTATTGTTTTTATTAATGTTTGTTATTGAATTCTAAACAATACACATTGACCTCAGGTTGACTCATTGTTGGGTATAGACCTCCTTACAGTCTTAAATACTACTTTGTATTATTCTTCTTTCATCAATCATCTCCCTGCGATTCGGATTACATTTACTATTCTAAACATTTTTAGACTACCTTTTTGCAATTAGATGCAGTCTAGTCAGTCTTAAATTCTTCCTGGTAGATAATGTAAAATATTTTTTATGTTATTATTCATCCTTCATGAAATTATTCAACTTTTGGTGCAATTTTTTGAATTAATTTTTAAGAATAGGGTACTTAATGTAAAAATTAATTTCAATATGTTTTTAAAATTGTCTAACATACAACAGTATACTCTGAATTTAGTGTTATTTTTTTGTGGCAACCATACTTTTTTATTGAAAATGTCTAAAAAAATGTGAATAATAAATATACATATTAAACAAGTAATAAATGCATCCAAGTTATTATAAATTATACAATTTATTTTTAAATTTGAAGTCAAGTATCCTATTCATTTTTTAAACCTATTTTTCTTTCAAATAATCTTGTTAATTTGTTTGCAGTGGATCTCATGATCAGTCGGCCATGTTATGGGTTTGGAATGTTCCTCGTAATTCCGTTGACTGTGTAGTGACTTGCCGTGGTCATGAGAAGGGTATTGAGTGTCTTGCAGTATCAGCTGATGCTAGCCGCTTTGCAACTGGCAGCTGGGATAACAATGTCAACTTGTGGAGTACCAGTAAGTTTTTTTACCATTAAAACTGTAGGAATTACTTATTTCGATAAACTGAAAAGGCACCTTGAGGTCGCAGGTCACTTTTTTTTAAAAAAAACATTGCCTCACTTTAGGATTTTCTCTTGTGTTGTGGGTGCGGTTACAAACATACAATTTCACGTACACATGACACCCAGACCTGGAACAACAATTTGTGGATCACACAAACAGTTGTTTGACACAGCATATGGCTAGAACAGGGTGGTTTTTAGTCATTCAGAGTCATACACTTTCTTTCGACCCATGCAGGGTGGGAGATTACAACATTTAAAAACATATGTCTTCACATGCACACAAACTGTTATATCATGATGTCAAAAAGAGTCACATTTCAGAAGTTGATCTCATTTCTAGGTCTAGCAGAGGAAGAGAATGTTCCTGCAAAGAAAAAAAGTAAACCAGAACATGGGAAAGCTAGGGTAAGTGATTCTAATTGTCTAAATTTACAGGCCTGTTCACAATGTCTGAAAATATAATGAATGAATGCATCACTGCTGATGCCCACTTGATGGTAAATCAGGTGGGATCACAATCAAGCACTAGTTTATATTGCAAGTAAATAATAAAAAGTAAAAAAAAATTTCTATGTATCAGATAAATCTATACATATAAAAATGTGTGTGTTGTTAAGCGCATAACTCAATAACGCCTGGATCAATATAAATTAAATAATCTTCATGCCAATAAAGAGTTTGTGGTAGAAATAGGAAAGGTTATATTATCTCTGAGTATAAAAGTACAATTTATACACATTTTTTTTTGTTATTTTAAGGATACTTTAAACTGCATTTGTCTGTCTCTCTACAACTCTTTTTCGAAAATGTTCTGAATTAAGTTTTGGACTATTATCTTGAGTTGCATTAAAATCAATTCAGTAGTTTCCATGTTTGGATCTGTTGTACCTACTGCGTAAATGCTAGTAAGTTGAATTTTTGACATATCTATACCATGAATTTAGTAGGTATTTGTTGATACTCGACAGTAGCAACGTAAATTTTTGTAATAAAGTTCTGTAAGGGAGGGGAGGGAAGGGGAAGGTAAAAATCAGCAGTAGGTAATAGTTCAACATATCATGAACTAGCGGCCCACCCCCGCTTCGCACGGGTCGCACTATCTCGCTCTCAAAGGGTTACTTTTTCCCAATTTTCCCCTCTACTTTTCTAATATTTTCTTTGATAAGAACCTTCTCCTGACAATTACAAACACAACAAAAAAAGAATTAGCAAAATTGGTCCAGGCGTTGTTGAGTTATGCGCTTACCAACACATTTTGCAATCCATTTTTATATACAAGAAGACTAGCGGCTCGCCCCCGCTTCGCTCGGGTCCAACTATCTCGCTATCAAAGTGTCACTTTTTCCTAATCTTCCCCTCTACTTTTCAGATATTTTCTTTGATAAGAACCTTCTCCTGACAATTACAAACACAACAAAAAAAGAATTAGCAAAATTGGTCCAGGCGTTGTTGAGTTATGCGCTTACCAACACATTTTGCAATCCATTTTTATATATAAGGAGACTAGCGGCTCGCCCCCGCTTCGCTCAGGTCCAACTATCTCGCTATCAAAGTGTCACTTTTTCCTAATCTTCCCCTCTACTTTTCAGATATTTTCTTTGATAAGAACCTTCTCCTGACAATTACAAACACAACAAAAAAAGAATCAGCAAAATTGGTTCAGGCGTGGTTGAGTTATGCGCTTACCAACACATTTTGCGATCCATTTTTATATATAAAGATTTATCATTTTCCAGGAGCCACTAACCACATTGAAAGGTCATCGAGAAGCAGTGTCAGGTGTACAATGGATGGATTACAACACAGTACTGTCTAGTGGATGGGACCATCTGTTGAAACTTTGGGACTGCGAATTAGGCGGCATCAAGCAGGAAATTGCTGGTAATTATTAAAATTATTTGAATTAAACTATGAATTCTCGTCTAGGGGGTTTCCGAACCGATACGATCAAATCTTCAACAAAAGATCGTTAATATAATAATCGTTCCTTTTTAAAGTGGCATTGACAAGAGATAGCTGTCCCAATTTGTGCCGAACCCAAACCTTAGACTCCAAAAATGCTTGAGTTGAACCAACCAGCGTAGTGTTTGGCCTTGTGATTGAGGTTACCGATGGCCCAATCCCTACCCTCCCTTATCCTTACCCAATCCTTAAATACCCAAAACCCTTAACTCTAAAAGGCTGGCAAGTCACTCGTTACTCCTCTGGTGTTGCGGGTGACCATGGGCGGTGCTGATTGCTTACCGTCAGGTTATCCGTTTTCTCAATAGCCGACCAATACTATAAAAAACACAGTTTTGATTAGAAACTGGTTTATTATGAAGAAAATACACTACCATTTAATCATTTTGTACTTGCTCTCTTCGCTGTATGATTGACCTTCTAAGTCGTTTTAATGTCTAATGTGTCAATTCTAGGCAATAAAGCATTCTTCGACGCGGACTGGTCTCCACTAAACAACAGCATCATCACGGCATCAGCTGACCGACACATTCGTCTCTATGATCCAAGATCCACAGGTAATTAAATTGTCTGTCTTATGATAGCTGATTCTCTATAAAATATAAGCATTTAAATATTTTACGTGCCCCCAACTTACCCAGGCCAACTTACTATGAAAAGCCTCTTAAGTATCTAAGAATTAAGAGCAGTTTTCCAAAAAGTAGTTCCAGCACTGTTACGTAATGGGATACCCAATTTTGTTACTTACAGAGAGTATTGTCAAAACCACATTCACTTCGCACACGGGTTGGGTGCAGTCCGTCCGTTGGTCTAAAACGCGAGACACCTTGTTCCTGTCTGCTGGTTACGATGGTCAAGTTAAACTATGGGAGACTCGAAGGTATGTCATATGACACTAGCGTTAATTTTAGCCTAAAATCAGCGCTAATGGGCTCTGAAGTAGCGCTGTCTTTTGTGCACCAGGCTATGTCCTATAGCAAATATCATTGGTCGGTTAGATTTTTGCCAGAAACGGTGATTACATGAATAGGACCTTAAGCGTTACTAGCGCCATCTGCTAATCACAAAAATAGCCTTTATTGCTTATCTGATTTGTTTTGCTCTTTGCCAAGCAATTTCAATGAAAAATTTGCGTTAACTATTTATATTGTGTCGTTTTTCGAATTTGCAGAACTAATTTGTACTTCTGCTTAGTCGGTTTCTTCACCAAACCTTCATTATAAATAATTACGCTTTGCTCATTACGAGGTTTTGCTAGTAATGTTTTTTACCCAATTAATACTGGAATGTAATTTTCCAGTCCACGTACACCTCTTTACGACTTGAGCGGACACGAAGACAAAGTGCTATGCTGTGATTGGTCGAACCCTTCGTTGCTGGTCAGCGGATCCTGTGACAACACGCTTAGAATATTCAAAGCGAAACACTACCAAACTGCGTGAAAGGTTAACCTTGTATGAAGTGACCAACCAACACCTAATAGTGTTCGAACATTTTGACGTTTTTGATTATTATTTTTTTTACAAAATATTCCAACTTTTTATTTAAAATTGGAATCTTAATGTCCGTCTAAGGTGTACGTCATGTTATTTAGATTAATATTTCTGTTAGCAGATAAATACGAAAGTAATAAATAAGTTGAATTTTATGAGAATCTTTTATTTCGGGCTCTCTTTTCACCTAGTAGCTAGTTATATTTTACCACAATGTTCGAATTGCATTTGTTTTAAGTTTTATCAAGGGAATATATTGACTATGGCTCAAAAAATACTTCAGTTCCTTTCCTTATTTTTAGCTTATTGCCTATAACCTCCAAAAAGGCGGCAACGCACTAGCAGCTCGTCTAGTGTACCTAATAAGTTTCTATAGGCGGAACTGATTGCTTACCATCACAAGATTCGTCAGCTCTCTTGCCGCCATACACCACGATAAAAAGCTGAAGTTTGTTACACCATCTTGTATTTATTATAGTGTAGATTAATGAGAAACTCTACGATACGGGCCAAAGTTACAAATCGGTTTTTCTGGTTTGATCTAAAATGTATACTTACGAATAATAAGGTATATAGGTGTTATTAAAAAACATTTCTCTTCATTAGGAGAAAATCCTTTGTCGTGGATGCGTTCACATAGATAGTTGTTCCACGGCGTCAGTAGTATTTCTCGTGCAGGTAATATAAATAGGTGTATGGAAAGAAAATAATGTACTAGATTTGGTTTCGCTTGTTTTATTCAATCATTTTGCTCTTACAAAATATGTTCAATGCAAAGGAACATGAGTCGTCACAATAAAACATGCTTCTTAGTACCATTTTGATTTATTAATATTATATTTTAGATTCCATTCAGCATAACTATAAATAATGCGGGTCACGTAAAATGCTCATAGCACAATATAGAAACTTGCAAACACTTTGTAACAAAATAGATACATAACTTTCCTCTTTGTCTTTTCTCTGCGAGAAATGCTTTAACACTATTATCATAGTTATGCCAAACCTCACATCATAACACAACGAAGCAACATGTCCCTTAAAAATAATTCTGTCTTACCAACAATTTCATTTCATTTTTTTTTACATTTTATCAAGTTTTTATTTTTTGCATTCATAATTCTATAATACTACCTACCTAAATATTTACCTAAACTATTCTACTGTCTAGACTAGTCTGCTGGGTAGAACACCACACTATATTAATACACATTGGACAAATACATTCGTATCGACACTTCCGTTTTTTTTTCATGTAATTTTCTTCTTTACACTTATTCAACTACATAACGAAAGAGGTGAAAGCAAACTTGTTCAACTGAAACTTATCAAGAATGTGTTCACTATTCTTTTAGACGTCCTTACCTTACGCTAGGGCGAGGCGCGCGAGCGCGGCGTGCAGGCTTCAGTCCATTCAAATTAAATTATTTAATAAACTAACAAAGGAAACTAGCCTAGAGCCGGCAGGGGCGCGCCCGCGCCGCCTCGCCCGACAATATATTAAATCTAAGGCTCTATGCTATCTATCTTAGCGTCGAAACATTCTTTTCTATTCTAACCTATCTATAGTTAAGCCTAACAACTAAACCTAGCCGTCATTCGTTACTGCCCGTAGCTTTACTATTCTCTGTATCAACGTGACCGTGCGTTCTCTTATATCTAAATGACTTATTTTTAAAAACATCTACTTAACATTTCTATTCATCGACATGACATTTTCTGTTGAAACATAGTTTTGGTTTTCAAGACTTGGTTCCCCAATCGCATCTTTGTGCTCATCTTAAGTTTTGTTAGGTGTCGCTACACACAGTAATGTACTACAAATCATCGCCCGTAATCTCAAAGTATTGTTATCATTTATCACACATGTCTAGAATGTACAAGTGCTTTAACAAGGAACATCTACGTTACTGTCGAGTTCGATCCATTTTACATCATGTGTGGGAAATGCAACGATTAGACAGCCACATTATCATCAAGTTGTTGTTAATACAAAATATTTAAACATAGTTTTTACATTATCACTACGTTTATGTAATACGGTAAGTTTTCTATTACCTGTAAAAATATTGTGTAAAGCACATGCAACTGCAATATTGTATTCAATCTGAGCATTACTTTAGAGGAAGCTGAAGGCACTACCATCAAATCAATTATTGCTTAAATGGAAGGGAAGCATTAGAAAAATAATTTCGTGCTAAATACTTTGCTTTCGACGGCGTTCTACTACCAGGACCGTGCCACGCTATAACTACAAGTCACTTAGACGAATACTTCTCGTGCGATACGTCAGCTCCTTTGGGACATGTACACGCCCCTACTAAAATACACATTTGCTTTATACAACGATTTACGGAGACAACGATTTGCTCATTGGAATGAAACTAAAACATTAGAGCCAGGGAATCATAAGATACACTTATAACAGTACGTTCAACCAAGGCTTGGTGATTGTCGTAATTACGTGAAATGAATTTATTTAATACATTGACATCAATTTTAAATGCAAAGTTTAGCGGAAACATCTATCGGAAGACTGCATTTACAGGAAGCCACAGAGTACGTGGAACACTAAACGATCAATACTTAACTAAGTACCACGCGACGCGGACGCTCGGTACTACATTGCACTTTATGGTTATTACATTTCACAAGTAAAGGCGGTTCTTATTCAGTACAATAAAATTTGGGTTGATCAGACGTCGACCGGGGCCGCCACTGATCTACGGAGTATTGTGGTTCACGCGTCTCACTCGAACGTTACACTAATAAAAATCTCACTTAGACTTGACGTGAGCCAGGTTGCGGCGAGCCTCGTCGGCTCTGCGGTCGTATGTTGTTGCGTAGGTACAGGCGGCAGTCAGCTAATACAACTACTATCTGGGGCTACCTACGTGTTTGCGTTTTGTTAGTTCATTGATCACACTCGTGACTCGTCAACGTGTGCCTCTACATGGAAGATGTTTAGCAGTACGTCACGTTACTTACGTGACCGGCGAAAACTTGTTGAGCTAATGTATGTACACATGAAAAAGTAATTGATTACAGAACAACAGTACAGTTTCAGCCTTTTCCTGAATAAATTAAAATGTTTGTTTACAAATCAAGTACAGATCTACTTACTCGTCCAAAATCTACGTTTAATTCATTCAAAACCTGCCGTCAGCTAGTTTCAGTTCCTGTATTGTTTCTTTTAAGTCGGTTCACAGGTTTTGAACAAAGAGGTTACCGCTTAATTGTCAGTTAAAATACAGTTAATATATCAAACATTTAACTAGTCTTCAGTCCCTGAGTTGTATAAATATTTTCCTACTTCTTACTCGACTTTAATGATTTGTATACTTTGGTTCTGATGTCTTGCGTGCCAAAATAGAATTAAACAGTTGCGATATAGTAGGCTTTTACTCGTACCCATCAACAATGTATATACATGTATACATATCCATGTATAATTTATATATATTCAATATAAAAATATCAAATTTCATATAAAGTCATAAAGTGTACCCAAAACCTACGTGATGGTACAAAAAGTGCTCAATTACACCAAAACGGTGTTTACTTACACTTTGGATTTCAAATCCATTTACATTTTATAATGTGGAAATCAATCGTGGAGTTTTTGTTTGAGTTTTCTCTAATGGAATGTGCCGACCGCCTACAAAATAACAACTACAGTTGATTCAGTACATGATTCTCAAAAAAGGATCATTTCATTATTCACGTGTTTTCAACGTACAAAAATTTGTATAGACTCGTAAAATGTATAAATAGACTTTACATACAACTGCTTATTGCTAAATGTTGCCGTATCAGCAGCACTGTCGTGCCTACAAGCGCAGACGTCACCGTTGGAAGTCATTACCCATGCAGTAGTCGTAGTACACGAGTCGTGTACGCAGCACGCTACACGCTACGCCTCGCAGTGTGTGTATGAACTAAACGCGGATCACAAATATAACGAACTCTCGAGTAGGTATACATAAATTCAGTCTGTGTTCGGGTTTGGCAACGACGTTATTGTTATTGGAATTTGATAATAATCGCATCTACAAACGGGGAAACTAAACCGATTACGATAAAACTATTTGTGATGATAAAATTATGACTTTAAGGAAGAATATTTTCTTTGTGTACCTCTTACAAGGAATAGAATTGTTCAGTGAGGTTGATGTGTTTTATATTATTCATTGAAAGGTAAATTTAAATTGGCTGACAGCCCATACACGTGGCGCTCGTTGGGTCAGTGAGCCATAACCTTAAAGAATCGCGATCTTTGGAAGACTGCGCCAGTATGAACATTGTTCCTGATAAATAATACTGTTATACATATCCATACACATATTCTGGGAACATAATGAGTTAGAGCACCATGCTAAACGTATATTAGTCTACACAATTCGCACGTGGATGGTGGACTCCTCGCTCGAGGCCGGAGCTACTGCTCCCGAGCTCCTGCAGCGAAACTTATGTTTGACTACGCAGAGCTGCCTGAATATATGTTTTCCGACTATAAAATGACGCAACGATTGTATTTTAAAAATACCTAAACTCATCGGTAGATTCTAAATCTCCGGCTTTTTATCGTACAAGATCTAAGCGGTGTATCCACCATTACTAACCCTTACACACATACCTAATCATTTCATTATTCTTTACAATTTTTGTTTATATTTTTGATTCCATGATATGACCTTTTCCACCTATCTTTCTATACGATTCTCAGATATTGCTCTCTTCATACACTCCAATGTAACAAAAATTCATTTAAATAAAGTGACACAAATTATCTTTTCTAAAAATTTCAATATATATATATATATAGGTATAGTTTTGTAAAACGTGATTGCACCATCTATTTGATTTCAGTGATGTTTATGTTAATTCGCTGTCAAAAACAAACGGTAACAGAATAGTTACGGCTTTGAATATGACACTAGCAATCAAAATAAAATATTAACATTTACCGACTTCTTTGCATTGAGGACAAGTTTGATTTGTCGCTTCATGCAAGAAAACAATCTATGCTAAAATAAATACCTAACTATCTTAAATAATTCTGTCAACATGTACGAAATCTGCGCCTAAAATCTTTATGAATTTTCATAAAACAATAATAAAATTATAATGCAAAACACTTTTAAAATTGCAACTATATCTATACATCAAATCCTCTCCTCGAACCGTCAAAAGACCTCATCAAAACATCACAGCAAATCGAACGTCCAGCATAAAGCCAAGAGGACCAGCCAAATACGAAGCCCGTCGAGAAAATAAATAGTCGAGGCGATCAAGTACAGTAAGGCTTAACAACTAGATAGAGCGCCGGCGGAGCGAGGGCGCCGCGCAGCGGAGCTTTCGATGAAGTCTATAACGGCCGCAAATTAAAACTAAAACAAATTAACATCGTAAAAAGTCACAGTTGCTTTGATTTTTGGCTCGTGTACAGCACGTAGTGTTGTAGCGTGGCTTACGGTCTACTTGGGGGGCGGGTACGGCTGGTAGGCCTCGTCGGGTGAAGCTGCCGTGGACGCGTGCTCGCTCTCCATCGGCATCTGGATGATCGGTGGTGTCGGACCCGCGAAGTACTGATACGGATGCGACGAGAAGTACTGGAACACAACATCGTGCCGACTCAACCTCTATCGATATATTCATGGCCCCAGGTGTGTTAATTTTCAGTACTTCCATTGATCGGTTAAACATCATCCATCTTTGTTTTATTATTAATTTCCCATTTTAGCAAACACGAGGTAACACCAGGCACTTAGTGTCGTATATAGCAGAGTGGCAGCATAACGTGTGGCAGAGAAAGCGAGAGGAGCGCTAAGTGAGCGGTGGATCGTAAGCAATGGGACACGGAAGGTTAGAGCGTTCGATTACAATTTTACTGTGCACTCACGTATAACTCATTTTCCGGCCTTAAGCTGTCCCAGTTTACCTGGAAAACAGAGAATCACTATCAGTCTAGCATTGTTTTGACTGAACATTCTCGTGAACCCTTCGACTCGATGAGTCTGCATTTTAAGGCCGTTATTCCGTTTTGTAAAGGTCGCTAACCACCGCACTCCTCGTGTCCCGGCTTGAGTGACAACTGGCCCTCTGCAGTTTGGTTCGCATATAGTTGCGAACTAACAGAAGACAATACTGATATTACCTGAGAAGGAAACGGGCCAGTGTCAGCTGTGTGAATTAATACGGGACACTTACGTATTGGCTAGGCACAGCGTCGATGGGTATATGTGGGTGCGCGGGGTGCGTAGCGTGGTGCGCGGGGTGCGCGGGCGGGATGAGCGCGGCGTAGGGCGCCAGCCAGGCGGCCGGGTGCGCCGCGTGGTGGTGGTGGTGCAGCTGCGGGTGGTGGTGGAACGCCGCCACGCCGTACACGCTGCCGCCGCCGCGGTACACTCCAGCGCATTCGCCTCCAGCTCCTGCTCCGCCGACTCCTCCGGCGTAAACCCCACTTACAGCCATTGCGGCCTGGAATACATTAAGTTAAAATCTTAGCTTTTCTAGAAATATTTTGAGGCTTAGAAAAAAACATAACACTAAAAGTAAAAACAAGTATTGTCTTAGTCTGAAAATAATAAGAGATTCTGAATTCAGGACATGGGGAATCGTGATTATTTTCTTTCCATCAACAAAGAAATCATGTGGTCATGGATATCTAGTTACATTATTGATATAGTGCGACAGTTCCCTGCACTTGTAACTCAAGCGACGCCGCCGGCGACCTGATAAAACTTGCACAACTATCGCTGCCGGAAGGCGACTTATGCTAATTTTATCGCTAATGAAGACTTTGAGCTACGTGAGGTGCCGGTTCTTTGTAGAAACTTCACTTTATTTGTTAAATTACATTAAAACTTTCGGAGGGCCTCGTGGTTACGATGTTATTGATTGGCGCTCCAGGTAGGGCATCGGAACTGACGTGAAGTGGATGGATCGTCTTTTAAGTATACTAGATTATCACAAGCCATCTGGAAGAATCTATACATTAGTTAATGTTGCTTTATTTAGGGATCTATGCGATTACATTCTTGGTGTATTGTGTTCCTTTTATAGTTGTACACTTCAAAGTGAAGCTATCGCAATGTTATGATGGATCAGTAATGAATCATTGGGCGTTTTGAATAACAATATGTGGGACAGTCTTTAAAAGTGGGACCTCTAAGCTAGAGTGAATAGATAGCTGTCAACTGACTACCTGGGTGATGGAATCGTTGTTGTCTCGCCATGCTCTCCCATTGTTATCGTTTTGTTTGTTGTACAGCGCCTTTTTCTTGTTACCGCCGTCAGCGAACTTAACTAGTAGAGGCTCCTTGGCTCCCGGAATTGGGTTTCCATTAAACATCTAAAAGGAAATAATGTATTTGATGAGTTTCACGTTCATTCTGATTGTTTTATTGAGATATTGCTTTGATTAGAAGTAGCTTATTGCTAATGAAAACTTACAAATGGAGTTTAAATAACTATTTTCACTTACTTGGATAATCTGCTCGCATTTCTCCCTGGACTCCATCCTTGCAAAGCCCACACCTTTGCTTTGGCCGTGGGTGTCACGCAAGATTCGAGTAGACACCACTTGGCCAAACTTGGCCAGCAGTTGGTCCACGTCATTCTCCTTGAAGTGCGGTGGCAGGTTGGCCATGTACAGGTTGGTGGGATCCTGCTCTTGTTGCTGTAAATGCCCCGGAGTAATAGGTGAAGTAGTTGCTCTCCAAATCTTCAATGTTTAAAAATTCAAATTGGAAGTTTCAGTGACATGGTCAGAAAGTTACGGGCACCACAACGGGTGGCTAGCAATAAACAAGTGCTGCTGTTGAAATACTTTGAAAGTGCTTGGCACATTCACTTAATGGGGGATTTGAGAATTGAATCACGTGATAAGCCCCGGAACCACTGTAAATGCTATAATGTGCGCTTGTGACACAGTTCCATAGTTCGGTTGCCTCCTCCAGCCACCATTAGGAAAGCATTATCGTTTGAGTTAATACGTACTGGTTTATTTACATGTTCCCAATGTGTACGTGTGATGAGCAGACCGTGACGTCACAACACATCATCGGCTGCGTGACATGTCTTGTTTATTTTGTTAACTATTAATTTATGTTTCTAAGCGTTAATTTAAAGTGTCTGTGAAATTGTTCTTAGAATGTTAAAATTAGCTTGAAGCCCGCATAGAATATCTAGACACTGAAGCCAGCTCTGACGTATATCAGCAGATTGATCTAATGTACTAATATTACGTAGTGTTATCAACGACATGGGCATATACATTAGCATAGAAATTACGAAGCTTGTTAAAATTCGCATACACACTAATTTAATATCGAAAGCATAGAAATACCCGAGCCCAGTAGCGATAATATAATTATACATTGTTATAACGCTGAAGCATACGACAATAGTAAGTATAGAATTAATAGGATGAAACAATGTCTGAAGAATAGAATTAAGTAAGCGTTATATTATTTGCGTCGGTTTGCGTACCATTGAAGGGATAGCATACTTACAACACATTAGTGTTACATTGTTCGTTTGTGAATACGCTGACACAACATTACCCACTCGTCTTGTTCCCCAAAATGGACTACACAATGAATGATCATGTACTTTGGTAGCTGTTAATACCGGGACATTTCAAAGTATTTATCGCCCATATTGTCGATGATCTAAACACAGGACCTACTTCTAGACAGACAATCTATTGAATCAAACAAATTTATGCATTATATGGCTGGAAAATAGGAACACATTGAATAATTTACCTCAGATTACTTGGATCAGGATGCTTTATGCTACAATACGCATAATATCAAGTCTAGCAAGTTTACAACATGGGTACACTCTTTACGTTCAGTCATGTAAGTTTACAGCACTTCTTGTATAGATAAGGGGTATAAGTACTAAAGCTATAAGTAACGGAAGACGGAATAAAGGGGTGGGATCAATGGGAAAGGCAACTGTTCAAATGGCGAAAAGTCTGCCATCTTCCAAAGTAACGAACAGTATAAATTAAATTATGAAAGGCTCAAAAGCATTCATTATACGTTTTCAAGTCCGGGCAGGCGCCAATAGCGCTGCGCTTAATTTCACAGTTGCCATTCCGTTTTGTTTAATGGCTTTTGGACATTCATTAGATATTAGGGATTGTAGACGGAGCAGGGAGTTAAGAGTTAGTGTAGGTGTTCGTTCGTAAGGCGAAGGAGCAGAAGTAGAAGTCGATGGGATGAGAGAGCGGACAAGGAGCAGGCGGTTAGTCATAATAGTATTACTTGCATGCACAACGTACACGGTTCAGTCTATGCAGGAACCAGATACCCACTTTAGCCATCTGGGCCTGAACACCTTTGGCTTGTAATCCTTTAACAGCTGCCTCAGCCGATGCGATTGTTTCAAAATCTACAAAACCGTAACCTGGGAAAAGAGTAACAATTTTATAGTAGAAGGCTACCTCAGCTGAGTCGGAGCACCTTAGTAAAAAAAGTTTTAAATCTCGATGATGACTCATGCTTGCTCTTATGTATGTTGAAACATATATCTAAAATTCCAAAGAAAGAACAGCTATGGTACATACACTTGATATGTAAGTAATGAGAGCGAGTATATTGCCTACTCGACATTAGCGTGATGGAAAATGTGACATCGAAAAAGGGCAACATCGTGATGAACATTAAAATTACTGTGCGAACTTCATATCGAGGTAATAATTTAGTATCATCTGTGCTTGGGTGCATATATAGTGAACATGATTATAGTTCTACGATAAAAAATATATAAAATAAACACTTATAATATGAGAATGTCATAAATATGAATTAAATTGAATGTATCTAGTGTTCGTGCATATATTGGAAAAAAGTCTCACCATAGATGGGTTAGTTTAATGAAGGTAGGTATATGGTATTCTAGAAAATATTAATATATTGTTTTAAATAATCAATTACGTAGTAATCGTATCAATGCAACTCTATTCAATTAACAAATTGTAAAACAATATTTAAATACATACGTGAGATACTATGCACAGATTAGTAGCTAAGTATAGTACTTTACATGTAGGTAACTTGGGTAACTCGCTATGACAGTGTATATAAAGAGGACGTACGTTATCAATGTTGTTTACCTTTACATTTATTTGTATTCTTATCCAAAATTGCTTTTGTTGAAATTATGTTGCCATACCTGAAAATATTAGGGTGATTAGAATTGGTAGCACGATTGTGGTAGATATGGAGTGTGTAATGTTTGTGTGAGGCTTACATTTGGCACATCTGCACAAGGTCTTTATCGGTGGTGTTTTGGCTTAGGCCTCGGATGTAGAGGTTGGTGCGGCTGAGCTGTTCGCCCGCGGCGCCGGTAGTGGAGGCGGATGAGGCCGGGGGCGGCGGCGCAGTGCTCAGGCTGGTGGAGCGCGTGCCACCGGCCGAGCCGGTGTTGGACGACGACGATGACGCCGTGTTGGCTGGCGACGCCGCCGTCGGCACGCGACCACCGGCCGCGCCACATCCTCCACCCATTCCAGTGCCCGTGTACTGAAAAAAAAACATAATTAAATAACTGATATCAACGACGATTTCTTTCCGCTAAAGAAAACAAATGGAATGAAAAACTTTTGATAGAGAGATATAACTCGAATTGCCATAACCACTGTAACAAATGTGGATAGAGTTATCCGTAGCTGAAATATCACCACAATACACACATACACAGTTGTAAAATAAAATCAATATCTCCACGTTACAATGACGCTTAAATACGTCACACAGAACAGTTTGGATAAGTTACATAAATGTTTCATTAAACGTAATTCTCCGTGTACAATCGAGACATGATGTCGCTGTCTGTAATCTCCGTAAACACGCTGTAGGTGTAACTCGGCGTCGGAACGATTACATTATACTCACTGGATCAAAGTGTTAATATGCGCGTTTGTACAACTTAGCGAAACGGGTGGAATAAGTCGAGAGCGCGGAGCCCCTCCGAGGCGACTTCATTGAAATAACTGTTCTCAGTGAAACGCGTTAAGACGTCGACTATTAGTTATCTAGCCGGCGAGTAATGAATAGGGAGGAGTAATGAGCGCATGCCGATTCCGAGCACGCACCCTTAATCGACTCGCATGCTCGGAACCCACCGAGTTAAGAAAAGCCAACGGTACGGATTGCACGTGTTCTGTTCCGGCTACGATACAATTTGTTAATGGATGAACAGTTAGTTTGGATTAACGAGGAGGCTCGGGCTGTTGGAATAGCAATTTGGTTCGATAAACAAGTATTTAAATGAAAACGTTAATGGATATATTTCACATTAGATACTCGCGCTGCGAAACGACGCTTTGATAACGTAAACATGAAATTGATTACAAGGATATGGTGTTATCCGACGGTATACGGCTATGAACGAGACACCATAACGCGCGCTTTTATTATGACATAAATAAAACATACGCTTTCGAAAGTAGAACATTCGATTTTTATTTGTTTAGGTACAATATGGGTTAGGTTGGTAAACCATTTTTATACTTATCAAAACGTATAATAAGTTATAAAATTGTATAATTACAGAAGTGGCTAAAATGCTGTATCTATCTAAACATTTGTGTTCCCCTGTGTTTGCGCCAGTGCCTACAGAGTACACTGAGTACATCGGCGATGTTCCACTATTTGCATTTAGTTAACATATTAATCCCATAAACTGTGCGTGTCGTTGACGTAACAACTCATCAAGCCGAGTTACATATGTGCTGTCGAGTTGCCATTTGTGTAATTAAATTCAGGGTAACCACATTAATGTTACCTTTTAAAACTGAGAGGAGTCCCAGGGAAGAATTTAGATTCGTAATCCAATTGGTATCTTGGTTGTAGACGAAGGTAATTGGTCCAATTTGTGTTAACTGCCGGAACGACCACCGCGGCGATACATACGCCAACATAAAAATAAATTAGCAAAATACATGGTTTATACCGGTGCGACTTTGATACAGAAACGGTTACTTAAAATAGATAAAATAAAAAAAGAAAACAAAATTGCTTGCGTTTTTCATTATGGATGTGTACAGTTAGTTAATTATTTTCGGAAGGCTACAAATGTACCTACTTGTATATTCACACTTATAGAGTCACTTTAGTGTAATGGCAACATAATCATTGCTTATTCTATTGTTTTGTTTGTTTTGCAATTCATAAATTGGTTGTAAATATAATGATGTTGAAATAACGATTAGTATATTTATTCAGTCATAATCTTTATTAAACTTTAAACTGCAATTAACAATTAGTGATTACTTAATGTAATTGACATAATTCAAAGTCTTAGACAGCTTTTAAGTGGTAGTTAAAAAGCAAAGTGTCCGATTAGGGGCTATTTGAACGGGAGTCAACGGAGTTCACGTTATGTCGGCCACCTGTGCAATTTACTCAATTTAACTTTATTATCTGCTCGGGAATTTGGATGGGTAATTATGTGTGTCAAGTCTCCAGTGTACTCACGGGAACATCCCAACTTCCGACCTGAGTTTGGAGAAGGGCATCTCAGAGAGCAAAGGGAAGAAATTGAGGATACCAATGCAAAATATGCCAATAATGGCATATTTGTTCGTAGCATGTAAGTTCCAGTATTAAAAGCGGATAGAGGAGAACTGCTAAAAAAATAAATAAGATGACCTTGTATGTGTGTGTGATACATAGAGAGTATGTTATCGTAACTTATCTTTTCCGATATCAAATAAAAGTAGTTTTTACACCATGTACTTTAACTATATTTGCGTAATATGAAAAAAGTAAAATAACATTATTAAGTCATTTTCCGCTTTAACTTATTATCGGCGTGATTTCATAACATTAGTATGTATACAATGTTTATGTATAAGGAACATCCGATAGCAGATAATACCGCCAAAAAGTTTAGCCCGCCATAAATCTCAGATTACATCAACGTTTAACGTGAGAAATTTGCAAACATAAATAATAATTCTGTAAGCTTCTGAGATCCACGAAATCCTGAAAGTAAGTTCCAATCATTCTGGCTTAGGTTCGACAGGTGTCAAGTGTACCGGAGTGACGGAGTGTTGGCCCCTCCCACAGTTTGTGACAAGTAATCATCACGTGTCAAAGTTGTGCGAAGTTACGCAAGTGCCTGCTTGTGGAAACCGGGAAGTTCGGCATGTTTTGTGAATAAACGATTTCTGTTATAAATTTCACGAATTTTCCTCGCTGTGTGTGGTAGAGGATGTGTTCGTGATTTCTACTTACTTTAACTTAAATTTATAGTCATATTTATTGTTTCGTTTGGTGCCTTCCAATGAATGCTTAGTTAAAAACTCAATACCTTCATACAGGTCTCCAGTAACGCTTTCATTCGTTTCCTCTCCAAAATGTACTTTTTTAATTTCTTTGCCGAAGACTTTTCTTCCATTGTTTTGTATTGTTTCGTACTTTTGAACGGTTCTAGTTAGCATCAAGAGTTAAGTGAGTTGCAAACAAGTTTCACATAATCTTATTAAATGTTTTTCCTCCACAGTTCTCTGTTTAATAGTTTCGAAACTATGTAGACTTAAGTAGAGTGCTGTAAACAACAAAATAGTTGTTTTTATCATTCGAGGACGAAACCTTGTTTCTCTTGTTGCTAATGTTCAGAGTAAACGGGATTGAACATTGGTTAAAAATCAGACAAAATATGTATTCATGTAACAAAATATGTAAATGTGTATTCTAAATCATAAGTGACTGTGTTGTCTCACGAGTCACTTGAACCGCTAATCTTGTTCCGTTTTACGGTTGTATCAGCAATCAGGTGTTTGATCTGTAGTCGCTGCGCTGCGCCGTCAGCAATCAACATGACCATAAAACACGCGATTTTAATTTCGTTCACAGTAAAATTTAATGATGTAACGTGAACACACACGTCGCCCGCCGTCGCCCATCGGGAGCATATGACTGTGGGTGATGACGTCAGGCGCGTAGGAGGGCAGCGAGGGGAGCCGAGGCCGAGCTGTATCTCAGAGGCATGATGGTGTAGGGTGGCCGGGTGGGAGATAGCACTCAACAGTTGGTCCCGGCTCGATAGCGCAGCGCGTGCGTGCCGCGAGCCACGTCACATGGCCGGCGAACACGCAAACTTGTATAAATTGTAACTGCATTCGCATTACCCGCGCGCGTATCGCACACTACGTTAATTAGGAACATGAAATTGGTGTGAGCCCATCCGTTTGAGTTTTATAATTAGTTTTATAAAGCGATGAAATTCCGGTTTCAATTTTAAAGCGGTGGCGCGGCCGCAACTGTCGCCGCGGCCAGCGTTCACAGCGCGGGATCCCACTGATTCACGCCGAAGCTCACGAAATGAAACATAAATCCCATTCAATCTATTTAAATTGAGCACTCCATTTGTTTTATCGTCGATTCAATCAGGAAATCGATCAATTCGTTCGCCATTTACTACGACGAGACAGTACACTTGATGAGTACTTACATTTATTTAGATTGTGTGTAAAAAGCCTTAAGTCTCCAGATGTTCATTTCCGACGCTTTGATTAATAGTATTTTGTAAACTAACTTAAAAATTCAGAGCTAATTGCCTTGTAATTAGACCAGAATGTTGCTGCAATTAGGGCACTGCATTATTCACATTTGAAAAGGAGATAGTACCTAACTATTACTAACAAAGGCAAAGATAAATCGGGTGCTAGAGATAATTGAAGCGAGAATACGGAGAGATAGGCTCCGTCCGGCCGTGATGGACAGGTGAAGTTAATTACCTATAACATGCGGGATCACTGGGAGAGACGCTCCGATTACTTAACATTATTAATTATTGCTCATAAATTATAAGGGGTAAAAATGCGCTTCAAATACCCCAAGGATTTAATGCTTTTAAGATCCTGATATTAAAGTCGGTAAAAAACTTTTCAGAAAAACAGAACCATTGACAAGGGCAAATGATTCAGAACACTGGTATGGACAAATTTAAATATCGGTAGCGGTCCAACCCTCCGTCACACCAGCATTAACATAATTCAACAAAAAAACACCACCCTCGCTTGAGAGAAAAAATCATTCTTTTTTCTGCGCCTTTTGACCCGATATAGTTCACAATATTGGACAAGTTCCACTGGTGTGTACCCTGCCCTATAAAAACAATTTGATGTAACTTACATTATGTTAAACATACCCTCGATCAAGGGATACGAAACTGTACACCGTTTCAGATGTTTCCAAAGTACCTACGCGACGTAGCAAAGGATCAAGTATATGAAAGGAAGGAAGTTTTTGTTTCAAATGAGATAACAATTCGTCGCAGGAGCATCTTGTTTAATACAATAACCGCATTGGGATAAATATACGCGAGTGAAGAGTGATAATATTTCCGCGGCTGCCGCTCACGAGGGTTCGGGTCCTTCACCTTCCGCCAGAGCCGAAATAAATCTAATTCCTTGGATGACAGATATCAGCAAGCCTTGTTTATTTATACTTTCACCCCGACTTATGGGAGGGTGGCGCACGTGGGTCGCGCCTGTCCTATTGTACCGAAATAAACTATTATACTCACAAAGTGAACACATGCACATCACGTGATTAGATTATAGCAATCCTGTATAATTTGGAAATATTCCGAGAACCTTTCTCGCTCGCATTCATCAATCCTGCGTTGGGATGTAATTGATGACCCCGGCACATTTACAAAATAGACATAGTTATACGCATTACCTTGTTCGACATTGAAAAAGGATCTTTTAAATATAAATTATACGGCAGCGAAACCTTCCAAAATAAATGTGGTAATTTCATTTACAAAAAATTCCCGACGCGAATACATTTAAATATATCAGCATAATGTTTGTGTGTGTGCGTGTGAAAATGAGGAGCCAGGAAGTCAAGTAGCTTTGGCCTAGATGATTCTAATGGGACCGAGGAAAGAAATTACTACCTTAATCTGGGTGTCTGCCTTCCTCTTCAACCATAGACATGAAACACTTCGCAGTGAATTATACAGAAATATGAAAGCATCCTCGTTGGGTATCGTTAAAGAACGTAAGAGCTTCGGTGGATTAGGGTGAGCTCGGACGTAAAACGCATTAGAGTATTAGAGTCAGCCACTTCTGTCACTCCATACGATAAAAACGTTGGGTTCTATACTAAAAAACGTAACCTCTATTTAGGGCTACCATATTTGGGAAGGGGCGCGATGAATCTAACAAGCTTTGGAGTTGTGACAGCCCTGACAGCTGACATATTCCGGTCATTAATCAAGCGGTCATAGATATATGTTACGACTACGAGCAGGGGACAGCCAAGTCCGATCAAAGTCATGCTCACTTAAAAACTGGAACAATACACTAATTGCTTCTGTCACGGTATTCATTATAGAAATAAAAGACTATCAAACTTGTACGTTTAGAAGAAATACATTTCTGTCTGAATGTATCTTATATTTCTTTTTTATTACGGTAACACTATCTATCATAAAGTTTAAAACCCTGTAATTGATCATATTAAAATAACAACAACGATAGTTAAGAATCGTCGGAACTGATAAGGAACTATTTTACGACTACGATTACTTTATCGGTGTACAAAACGTTTTTTAATGTTTTTCTATTGCTATAGATACGTACCTACACGTGTTTGTAAAGTGTTGATCTTATCAAATGCGAAGAACGTGTCAAGAGGTTTTAAGGTTTACACACGAACACTTTATAATACCACATAAGTAGAACTACAGAGGATTATGCTTAATAAAATTGAACAACTAAAGGAAAACTCTTGTAGAACAAAGCCACATAAGCAAAGTTCTTTTCAAATGTTTCTAGACATAAAAAAAACCAGCAGAGTATCGGCTCGGCGACCATGAGATAAATCCTGAAGGAGACGCGCTGTAATAAAACACGTACGGCGCGGGGAGCTACATTTTATTTCGAAAAGCGATAAGGGCGCGAGAAATTCCTTTTACGAGATTCCTGTGGAGGGAGGGTGGTGAGGTGCAGCCGCTCTTTGTGCAACATCTGGTTTGTGTCCGCCTCGTAAACAGTAAGCTCTCTGCTCGATGACACTCCACACAAAACTGTGATTGTACACAGAGAATCAAACGACTGGCACACAAAACGTTAATCTCATTGTGAAGAAACTTCTTTAAGTTTCAACATGATTTTCTTATTGCTTTCTTCTATTCGATTAATGTAATGATATATGATGAAAATGCGCTTTAAAAATTGTTAAGTCATCGAATTAACACGAAATGAACATTTAATAGAGAAAATATAAGAACTTAATTTGAAATTATTTTGTGATCCATCCTGGCAAGAAAACATTGTAGAACTTTGTACTCGGTTATAAACAGAGTAAACTTCTAAATTAACTAGTTTTATGCAAATCACGATCTAGTTGTGTTGTTTTAAGTGCTCCGAGAAGACATTAATCACATAATATTGTTTGTGTGTATTGCATAACGAGCTACAGCCGTGGCGGGCGTAGAAATTGATGGAGCGATGTCAACGAGCCGACTTCGCGGTTAATTATCCAGTCCAGAGCCGTAAGCTATGTCGCCACGGTACCAGAGCTCGCCACTTGCTAACTAGAATTCACGCTTATTGGTTTAACACGGCATCTTAGCTTTATTTTAGGTCTTGTTTACATTAAAGAAAGTTACGTTAATAGTCACTTATTAGTTGAATGAAAGGAAAACGTTTCACAACATTAGGGAAGCGTTCGCGGTCCGGCAGACAGCGGAACCTCCGGCCGCCAGCGCTCGTAAACTCGATCGTAAACTTAAATACACCTCATTAGAACATTCAGAAAATGGCGCCGGCTAAAGATTCTCCTTTATTTATGTGATACTTGCGTTCACTACAAGAAGAAAGAATGAGGGTGAAATATTGATTGACGTGTTTGATGCCAGCATAATTGACTGCGCTACGCTGTCGTAGCCGTGCGTCGTAGCCGAGTTTCTGATGCGAATTTTTCATCGATTCCTTGCTGCCGATAATCCGTAACAATTCCTTTGAAATACTTCATGTTCACACGTTGGTATTTTATCAAATCTCCAGCGATATTCCGATCAGGAATTCTAAAGATGTGTAAATAACTGTATTAAGTGGAAAATTTCTATGCGAAATCTAATATTTCTGCTATGGTAACTGACTGGTCTTACGATTCGTTGACAAGAATTTGTTATCAAAATTCCCAAACACCGTGAAATGGTGTTGACATGAATGAGAATAACTAGCGCTTATAAACTGGCGCCTATTGATACGAAGAAAGAGCACGTGTTAGTGGCCGGTGTAAAAATAGCAAGTGCTCTAAGAATCCTTTCTACGCGTTGTAAAACAATGCCGGAAGAAGTATGAACATGAAGTAATGTGGAAGTAATTATAAATGACCCATTATAGAAATGTATCTACAATTGTTAATATTATCGTTGTAGATAAAATTTTCGAAGAGGACCACTTTACAAGGAAAACACAGAAGGAATTGTAAATCTAAGGTAATGGAAGCTCCGGCTTTGAATAGGTATTATGAATATGTTAGCCATGTCCATTATGCGTAGATTGATGTCAAAATGTTACTGTATTCTTTTCGAATTTTTTATAGAGGTCGAAACCGTCTTTGTTGTTTAAGTTCAAATAAAAGACAATGCATACCTCAGTGACAGACTAATTATGGCAATTCTAGTTAGCCACCAACTTTGATCTGTCGAAGCTGACAAGTACCAGTGTGACTTTTTCCGAGTGATATGTACTTTCTAATATTATTTAGACACAACTGACATACGGTGAAGGAAAACATAATCAGGAAACCTGGACTTATAACTTCTAATTACATGTTTAGAAATCAATAGTCAATAGGCTGCTGATGACCAACTTTGATATATATAATTGATATTGTATTTGTGGTGATAGGGAGGTAAACTCACCTGGTGTGGAGTATAAGGGCTGGGTGCGGCAGCGTACTGCTGCGGCTGCGGCGGCGGGTAGCGGCAGGGCTGCGGCGCATAGGCCGCCGCCCACTGCTGCGCACCGCCGCGGTACTGCGCCCCTGCGCTAGCCATGCGCCCTGCGCACGCGCCCGCGCCCGCGCCTGCGCCCGCGCTAGCGACCGTCACGGCGCTCGCGCCTGCGCTGCTTGCCGAACGACAACCGCCGGTGCTCTGCGAACAATGCAGACATGCTTTCAGAATTACACACATACAACTTACATAGGTAGCTGTTTGGGGTCAAGAAGAAGCATTTGTGTTTAGGGGTTATACCTAATCTCTAATTCTATTTAAGCTGTGAACTTTTGTGATAAAGGCTATTTAGTATTCTAGAAATATCTATGTAAAATATACTGCTATAAAAATGGCAAGCCACACCTCTATCGTCTTAGAGGGTTGTGCAACGCAGCGGAGATTGTCTAGAATAGCTAAAAGTCAATTTAGGCTTCGAATGTGATAATATAGAAAAGCTTAATATATCATGGACAAAGCCTTGAACAATGTGAGATATGTAGCGCTTGCAACAGGATGAAGCCATGAGAAAATTTACATTAAATAAATGAAGCTATCGTGATTGTTCGCTATGTCGGTACAACTTTCACTACAAAGCGGCCATTTGTTTCGATAATACGTGGCTCGCAAATATATTCTTATTGGTTACAATAATGGAGAAGGCATTGCCAGGCATAAAATAAATGTATTTTAAGAACTTTGTAAGCGCAATTTGTTTACGTACAACATGTATTCCATCTGTCGACTGTTCTTAAATATAACTTGTTTAAAAAAATATCTTCCATCTCTGTCTTTAGATAGCTTAATAAACATAAGTTGAAGACATTTGAGTTGTAAGTATAGTAAGAAATATTCAGTAATTTACTGCACAATGCAATAATTGCCTCATTAGTCTAGTTGTAACAACGGTTCTCCGTGGACCGTATCGTATCGTAGCGATACTGTTTGAAAATGATCAGGCACCAATTATTTTCTAGTATTAGGAAATAACATGAAGAAAAAAATACATTTTATGAGTCACGATAGATTATGCAGTTTTTAATAAGAACCTCTATTCGGGAGTAATGTCTGATGCATACGTATATTCAGGATCGTAGTGTTGCATCACGTCACTGACGTAGACATATGACTATAACAGATTGGCATCTGTGCGCCGAGAGCCGTGACGAAGCGTGTCTGCAGACTTTCGCAAACGTCTAGAATACCTTATACATGCACATAATGTACACAGATCTACGTGCAACGTTGTACATGAAAAGGTATATACTTGCGTCTATGTATATCTGCCTACTAGCTACTCTCGCGCGGTTTCACCCGCTGCTCGTCTCCATTTAATCGTAGCGTGATGTTTTATAGCCTATAGCACTGAGAAATATTGAAGCTATCTATCAGTGAAAGAATTTTGGCAATCCGACCAGCGGTTCCAAAGATTACCCCCTACATAAAAACTCACAAATTTTACCTCTTTATAGTATTAGCATAGATTTATTTTTTTCCGATTAGATTTGCAAATTCGTTTTGTTTATGAGAATTTAAGCGTAGGATGTTGTGATCATGCTAATGACAAATGAAGTCATAATTCCTTCCAACTGTTCAAATATTCCATTGAGAATACTTAGAAATCGCCTCAACATTACCGTGATTAACTTCATCATGTTAATTGTTAATTACTTTGAAAGCAGCGATATTTGAAAGCAAGACCTACTACAAAGTACTACAAGAACCTACAATTACCATAAACAATTTGACGGGAACGCGAATTAAAACTCACGAGAATTTCAAGACCATTCAGCGTTCACAATTCCCTCAGGGAGAGAATTAAGTTCAAAGGAAAAATTCTAAGAAAAAAATCGAGATCTATTCGTTCCTCGTAAGAGTTTAAGAGACGATAATAGTTAAAGATTAAGTTAAGCATTTAAATCTGAAGTAGCGGCTTGCCTTTATACCGTCGCCGTCGTGGTAGTGGTATAATTGACATATGTTGTTTATTGCGATTCCAGTAATTTGTCTATCAGAAACGCCTACACAAGAGTGCGGCTAAATAAATTACACACACACACTGTTCGCAACGAGTACTACATTAGACGGGGAATGTTTCAAATAGTTGTTCAGTGAAACATTAACGCCTTAACGTTGTGATATGAAATTTTTGTTGTCTTTATTTGTTATTCTGAGCGAGTGCGTTCACCCAAAATGAGATTTATGGGGGCAATAACAATGTATAATTTCACCCAGCGACTCCCATCTTGGGGACTTAATTATTTGAGTCACGGAATTCGAAAAACCCACGAGGAAAGCCTTAAGGATCAGGGCTTTGTATAGTTTTTTTTCTCACCCAATAAGTAGCATTCTTATGCTTTTAAAACTATTTTTTGCTATTGAAAAAATAGGTGAGTTTGCCTGTAAGGCGATAAGCTGGCAATCCGCTTAGTGTGCGTGGGGCCACGGCAAGGAATTAGCGTAAAATATATATTTTTGTTACAGTAAAAGCAGCGACCTTATGTCCACTGTAAGTCTGGCGGGAGCCGATTAGATTATATCTTTATTGGGTTTATTCTGTCTTGCGTTACGTGTAAAGGTTATCGTCGCGGTGTACCTACGTAACGTATTTATTGAAAATATTGGAACGTTTCCGAGACATTATGTAAAGACTTACACTAAATTGTGGTCTACACCATTAAAATGAGTTAGTACGTCGTTAAAGCTATGTCAGTTTAAATGGTCGCATGAATTTTTACGTCCATTGTCAATTTAGACATGTCTTAACGTAAATTAAGTTTCATTCCATTTTATGGAACCCTTGAAGTGAGCGTATAATGTAACTTAGTCCAACTATTTCCTTAGTTTATCATCTGAACGTCTACGTTTCTAAGTACGTACCTACCCTTATTCAGAACGGCTTAAAGTAAGAAGTTTAAGCGTTGTTCGCAAATGTTAGTTAAATGAACTAAAAAGGAACAAAAACTTTTAACAAAACTAAGAATGAAGTTGTACTTCCTTACGTATGAAAGTGTTGGTGCACCGTTTTATTTTTTATCCGAATGAAGCTGAAGTATGGAATGTTTTGCTTAGTGTGTCGCTAGCGAACAAACCACAAACCCGACGAGGCAAATAGCATAGAATTGATACTCGAGCCAGTGTTCACGTCTTTTGTGGAGAGCTATTGCGTTTTCTTGTTGTCTGTGGAGATTTAGTTTTATGTTGAGTGGGATTGTTGGCGTCGGCGGGTCGCGCCGGCTCTGTCTCGACGCCCAGCTTGTTGCTGCCTCGTGCCTCGTGCGGCCGCCCCCCCACACCCCTCCCCACTAAAGATCCGCTTTTAATCTGGAATGGACACGCCTGTAACTACAGCTACGAGGACACTGGAATTGCTTTGTCATGTCATTTATGCTGCTTAGTATTTATACAGCATCTATATAGACATCAACTCTCTCCTACTTGATTGTTGGAAATTGCAAGGGACGCTACGCAGACATTTGCAAATCATAATTTTACAGCGCTGTGACTTTGTGCTCAGTATTTACGTCATATTCTCTGTTGCAATTTCAACTGTACTTTATGCACACAGCTACAACATAACGCTTATTTAACGCTAGCTTTCAATGAGACGTAATAGATGATGATTAGAGAACAAAAAGTCAGTGTACACACGTCTATCGATCGATAAGTTCACAAGAATCTAATTATTCATTGAAGTAGTCGGAAGCAAGAGTGGTACCAATCAGGAAATTATATAAGATGCTCGTGAATAGATATCGAACATGGGCGACGCGGGATACAGCTATAATTCTCAGCCAAGATCACTCGCCTCGAACTAACAAAGTTATTGTCCATTCAAACTTCGATGGACATAAATTCGATACGACCAGGAATCAAAATCAAATTCGATTCAGAACGAGATAGTGTCTTATTTCATTTCATGACTTTATTGTGTTTCGTCTTTATTTAAAGCGAAAGTGGATCTATTGAGATTTCATTCCTCGTTTAATGGAATTACACACGGAGCTCACGTTAGTCTGTTAAAGTCAGCGTCGGCCGCGTGTCCAATACGTTCTTACAGTCTTTAAAGTTGTCACTTTGAACGTTAGCCAATAAGAGGCAATAAAATTGCTCCCGCAGCCACTCCTCGACTTTACTAAGAGCTGCCAGGATCAAATAAAGTGGGGTTTCACTAAAAGCATTGAACGACCACCGGTTTACGCTTTCCACACTTTATTGGACGAATAATTTTTGTGTAAGTAGTCAGTCTTCATGTAGAATGTGAACTGCTTGAAATAGCCTGTCTGCGGATCAAGTTGAGGGACAAAAGGTGAATAGTCAATCGAGTTTTTGTTGGAGATAATCCTGTAATTACAATTAAACCGCTCGCCTGGTAAAGTGAAATTCTTAATTGAGTGGGCGATCACCAGACGAGGTCAACCCTTCGCTTCGGCGGCGTCGGCTCCGCAAATTACGAGCTGGCAGACGTTTCAACTAGTCGCAGTCACATCTTTGGCCTCCCCCCGGCCGTCGACCGCATCTAATCCATCCCGGCTCGTCTGATTACCGGCAGCTCACAACGACCCGCAAACAAAGCCGCTATGACGAGCGCAGTTGTCTTCCATGAATTCCGGATACCGCTCCCAAATTGTTAGACAGACGGTAATGTAAATAATTTGTACTATGCCGCTTCTGTTTCGACTATATCAATGGGTATCCGATAGAGCGTCACTTTTGGAATAATACGGTTTATTGAAAACTGACTCTGTTTTTGTTCGCCATTTACAAATACCGGTGGTTTAATAGATTACTCATAAACGTGACAAACCTGAACACTTTTATTTTAACAATTACATTTTTTTGTTTATTCTCTGAATAGTAAAGTTAGTACGGGTATACAGTGCTAGAGCAGACAATGAAAACGTTCTTGTGCCGACACAGACGACAGTGAGTCACGGGTTGTGACGCTAATCTCAGTAATTTCCCCGAACTGTTAAAAGTGAACAAGTATAAAAACTGTCATCAGTCACTCGTTTCACTGAAAAAATGTTTATCTTGCGCAGGTCAGGTACGGTTACGCCAGTTGATATTACAGTTTACATCGACCGGTATAAATATTCGAGCGACCGATTAAAGTGTGTTATCATAATAGTACTAAGTAATGATAATTCACTGACATTTGAGGTACACTCAATGAGAATGTATGTACTCCGTAGATCACATTTATAATTTTAGTGTCCATGGATTATTTCTGGAAATAAGTCATGCACTTTTTAGTGTGAAATAAAAGTGAGCGATGTGAGTAAGACGGTGGCCACAATTGTCAGTAGCCGTTGCATACAGTCACCCGATCCGCGGCGGTGACGCACTTGGCACATGCCGGCAACCTGAGCCCAGCACCGATCGGATCGCTCGCTGTTTGTGTCCAATATGGCTCACGGACGCGGTGACAATAGACTTGATATTAAAAAATAACAATATAAAGCTCTTCCAGAGTAATGCGGTTGTAAAATGCATAGAGCGTGCCGTGACTGCATCATTATGTGTGCTATAAAGCTCGTGTGCGAGAGCTACAACTGAGGGGATATTATTCAGCAGTTTTTGCTCTGACTGGCGGCACATTTGTATGCGATTCGCTTCGGCGACGGCTGCCCGCGACGCGAGATTAGCGCCTGCCACCGTACACGCTGCGTGATTAAACTGTTTCCGCTTTGCAGATATTCCGTTTTGTCTCTATCTCTCACGTCGATGTGAACAACGCAGCGGCGGCGGCTGCGGTTAATATTCATCTCATACTGTTTTATACGACGAATAATTTGAGGTTTAATATCGCGTACAGAGTGATAACGGTGCGGTGCGTAGACGGGCGTTGCCGGCGTGCGACTAACATAACAGTTCTAAACAATTTTGTGAATGCAACGTGTTGCATCGTAATAAGGAATTCCACATCGCTAGCGGTACACTGACGCCAACTCCGGCGTACTGCAAAACTGCCTTATGTACTTTGGCATTAATGTGTTGTTGCACACACACAGCCGGCTACGTGTCGGTATGTGTGTCATCTCGATGTAGTGGTGCGGTGCGGAATGCGGCCGCGTCCTTCGGCGTACGCCGCGCCGGATCATTTGCACACAGCCGCGCCAGTTCCTATCCAATCCAGGCAGACATTTTATTGCTTCCCAGTGATCACTTAGGTTAACTTCTGATACGTTTAGTGTCCTCGGCCACTTGATGACTTCTCGGAACATCGGTCGGTCACTCGAGAAGGTTACAGCTAACGGTCTAGCGGTAGTGTTTAGTGCGCGCCACTTCACAGTTTGCTTTAACAGCGCTTGCACATACTTGAAAATATTTAAACAGGTTTGAAAGCTTTGATTGTTAAATACGCGGTAGGTTTTACCGGTATTCTAAGTATCTGGAATCCGGTAAGTATGTGGATTTGCAAAAACTGCAAATGCTAAGAGGAATAAAATTATTTATAAATTATTATTAAATGTCTGATTTTTATTGAAAAGTATTAAAATTGCAATATAAAGTCATTAATATACAGTATTTGTTAAATCACAATTTGTAAGCAGATATAAGCGTTTTTGCAATGGCACAGCGCAAAAACAAGTTTGCACATTGACGAAGTAGCTATTTATAAAATAATTTCAAAATAATGAAGTGGACAATCATCACAAACAAATAAATTGTGTGCAGTAAAGCATTCAAAACGTTGCACATTACTGGTTTTCCACTTCCCCAACACAGACCAAAAAATACGCAAACACAAGCCCATAACAATTGCACTATTAGCTGCAAAATCGCTAAAGAAAATCCATTGCATAAAAACTGTTTTCGCGAAAATGGAACCTCCTTGTTGGAAGTCGTTAAAAAATTCTTTCTAGATTTACTTAAAGCTGGTTGGTAAGTTAGCAATCTCGTACAGGGAGTAATAATTGCTAGGCTACGAAGCGCAGTTGCCTGCATGCAGAATACATTGCGGAGCTCCAGGGAGATTTATTGTTCACTCGCGCTCTGAATGCCGTAATGGTGTCGCCAAACTATGAAAAGAACGGGGCCTGCGATCGCCCAAATATGAGTGTTACACCTTTACTTTAAGCCATAAAAATTCTTTGTCTGGATTCCAACTATATATCTGCATAGCATACAAAAGTAACGATGTGGTTCGTAGCCAAAAAAGCAAGTACACAGAAAATATCAAGCCTAGTTGAGGATGAAATATATTATGGGATGAATAAGAGCCAAATGTGTGCTCGCTTAATGCCATACTGTTTAATATCAGAGAATAACTAGATATTTTAGCAGCCACGAGTAACATAGGACAAATGATTTGCGAGCTCATAGCTTGTAATCAAAACGTCAACGTAAAAAATGATGTCGGCCTTATTTGTTTGCTTTTAAAAGATCTTTTCCAACAAAGTCTTGTAAGTACAATGCGGGAATTATTTTCAATTTCCCTTTATTCCTTTCCATATTTCAAAAGCATTTCCTTGTGAATTTTCATCAAAATAATCTGTTATATTGAAAGAACTACGAGTATGTGACATTAGAGACATATGAAGGGCCGAATGCGCCATTATAAGGGTTCTGTTGGAGGCGAAATCCTAAAAAAATACGAGAGCGATTTGGAAATAACGTAATCTCTTAAAAGGTTGAACGTGTTATGAGTTATAAAATTATAGATATCGCTTTTTATGGTCGATAAGAAACGTGTAGGGGGCGGTAGTGGACATTGTTTTATAATGATGTAATTAATGTTTACAACAATACTTTCGAGCGCGTAATCCTCCCGCGCCGCCGTGGTCGCGTGTTGCTCTTAATTGCACTCAATTACTCATTAACGTTACTTTCATTGACATGCCAGTAAGTACATATAAATTGGTGAAACGTGCGTACTTGTGTGCTCACGATTGACTCCATTTTTGTTTTTTTTGTCTGACGTGAATACCAAAATTAAGTATCGCAATCAATCATATCTGAGTTTTATTTCTTGAAAATTTAAACGAATTTTCACACAATGTTGTAGAGAAAGAAATTGTAGCTTTAACTTGAAAAAATATAGACAGCTCCCTAGTCATGATTGCGTACGTTTTTATAAACAAGTTGTTTGTACCGCATCTGCATCCAGCATGAGTCACACGCCGTTTCTATTAGTCATTAGACAGGTTTGTTTACTATTTCATAATCATAGAACGAGCTAAATATTTGAAGCTTCATTAATCGTGTATACTGACACTCCATAGTGCCCCGACTCCATTAAATGCATTTCCGACTGCATGAGATAAACACTTTTTATCAAAGTATCCTATTGAATATCAGTTACTAGAAAAAACATTCAAAATGTGTATGAAAACTGAGCTGCTCATATGGACATTGTTCCATGTCAGTCCTATTTCAGTCAACAAATCTCTTGCCGACAGATGTTTATTTATTAAACTGTCCGTACCCCAGCGTCAGCGTGGAGCAAAAAATTTCGTCGAGATAAGGGTTCAACAAAAGGAAATGACGAAATCCTCACTGATTGGGATTACCAACGTACTAAAAGCGTTGTAAATGTTGTAACAGATAACGTTGGGTCAGATCACAATGGAAGGATCAACAATATGTACCTAAGTGTAAGCCGAAATGTGACGCATAGTTATCGATTTCTAATCATACGCCCCCGCGCCGGACGGCAACACCGATAGTGTCTGCTGCCTGCTGTCACATCTAATGTTGCCACATTGAATACTTCAACGTCCCGGTCTGTGGCAAACTTAGATACGATTAGGATCTATTGTTGTGCTTTGTTATTCAAATAGAAATATGTAAACCGTGACGAAGAGCTACGATAAGAACGTGTCAGACACGTGTTAACGTACCAGCTTTTTTCCTCTCCAGCTAATGTGACTAAACTGTGATAGGCAATTAATAGAAATTCTATATTGAAACATTTAGATAGCATCGCGTCTACATCAACTAAATGGTTTGATACAATCGTTGAACAACTACACAAATTGATAACGGGATGAATTAAAAATAACACGGCTTTAATCTTCACTATTACTAGCCTTGGGAAATGTACCTAGGCAACCTTTTTTTCATTATTTTCTCTGACAATAGGTGGCGGGCCCCGTCGCCGTCTGCTGGCAATAGTGCCCGCTGGCCTATCTGTCTGCGTACATACAGTGCGTTATGTATTTAAAGCCAGCCACAATGCGAAGGGTTGCCAATGGCAATGCACCCCAACGTTTGTGCAATTTAGCAGATTATTCCAGTCTGCAGCCGTCATATAGCCTTCATATTGTTTTTTCAACAGAAAGATGACTATTAATGTTTGTTTCCTTAAAATAAGATCCTTTTTAAAGTTTTTTTGATTATTTCATTATCACATAGTAAACAAGTACTAAAAGAAAAATATGGTTTCGTACAGACTGATAAATATAACAACAGTTATTTGTGTTATCAACACGGTGTAATTACTTCTTCCAATTAGGGCTTGATATAATCAACACTGTTATTATCAGTCTCGTAATTGTATCCCAAATACCCGGTTTTTTGAAAACAAAAAGAAGTAATCAAGTACCTAATAAAGGTTATGATTACTACTTACGAACAGTATTAATAGTAGATCTGAAAATATTTCGGTTTATTTTTACCCTTCTCAAAATACTAAAGGATAAAAATGATTGATGAGATATAAAACCTACGTGGTAAGTCTTAGTACTCTATGATATTTTCAGGTCGCAAAGGATTTTCATATCTGACTGTATTGTATTTAAGTACAGACTGCCCATTTTACTTATCGTTGGTAAATAATAATGTATATAGTGAAAAATGGGCGTAGGAATAACCATAAGAGAAAGAACGCAACAAAAAAAAAAAAGGTTGAAGCATTCAGCTTGTTATATTTTTCAATGTAAAAACAACTGGTTACGATATCGATTATAAACTTCTTAGAAGTATAATTTCCTAACGCATTTCTTACTAAATACAATAGTTTGGGTTGAATAGTGTTATTTAAAGTGGTAATGAAGGTGGGGTGTCCCGCGCGGTCACGCTACGTCCGGACCGGTCTGTTTGGACGTACGGCCACATGGTAATGAGCCTTCCACCTAAATTACCACAACGATTTATTTTATTTCACAATATTAATTTACCTTTGAAGTTATTCGTTTTGGACAATATTTATTTTTCTTTATTTAACAGGAATTATTTGCTATAAAACGTTCATAGAGTTTGGTGATTAGTATTCCAATTATCGTCTGGTGAAAAACTATGGAATGCTAAAAGTGATGTTATGTTCTATTTTCGTTGTAATGCTAAATAGGTATCGATCCACTGCTGACGTAAAGTAACGTTATTACCAGTTTATATAATGACACAAAAGTGGTTTGCAAAACCTGCTGATGTTATGATCGTTACAAACACGGTATTGTGTGTACACCACGCGGATGGAAGTTTCGAGTAATCTCACGGGGATGACGCATGATTACTGATTGTCTCCTTTTGACATTGTGTTGTCTGTTGCATGTACAGCATCACAACCCGGGAATTAAATTTACCTTCACAAACAGACCTGTACAAATGTAATGATCATAATATCTGGTTTGTTGTTATGACATTTTCGTGTTTTTTCATAGATTAAATCTAACAAATTCGATCGTTTCTATTATTTAATCTTTATTCTGAATCAGTTAGAGATACCATAATACGCTAATTTACAATTCAAAGCCGTGATATCGCTTAAACATGTTCCTTAGTCAGTCGTTACTTTGCCAGTCTGTTGCCATATTTTAGTTTCAATTTCCCGCAGTCGTCTGGCATTACCGTAGACGTGCATTTGCTTGTAATGTAAGGGGTAAATCAGACTGGACGCTGGTGGGGTGCGTGGGTGGGGCGCGAGGGACTTTGATTGATGACGATGGGGCCACATTGTGCGTACGTTTGCCCATTGTCCGAGCAACGTGAATCGAAACAACTGGACCAGTAACACAAATGAGCTCCTTTATTGCTGACGATTATCCCTCATACGATAGCCACGAGTGTGCTTCTAACGTAAAAATGTATTATGACGATTGTTACTCGTACCTACATTCACAAGTTTCCTCCGCTCCTTACCGTAAATTTTATCCTCAAATCTTTACGTGTTGTCGGTAACACAAACAAGGATAAAATTATTGAAAAGAAAGTGGAAGTTCTGCAAAGGCAATTGTTTCACAAATCATAAAAAATGTAGCCAAATCAAATATGGGTGTTGTGT